TCGAAAGGCAGAAAATTTCCCATTCATCTTGGCCTCGTAATTAAAGCCGAGAAATCAACCTCCAATCTTTTCATGTAAAAGTAGAACGCTGAAAAATGCGTTCAGTTCCTATTGAATTTATTATTGCCTGCTTACCGCGTCGTTTGCCATAACGAAGTCGGTCGCGTGTAATAAGATCCGCTGTAATTTCAATTTATTCAAAATTAAGTTTGGAAGTCGGATTAAAATATCGCGCGGGAAGAGGAATATAGCAACAAATACCTGTTTTTAACTCGAGCGAGTAGCATAAATAACGGTAAGCAACGAATGCTCGCGCAATATCGTTATATAACTCGATTTAACGGTCAAAGAAGAGCGTGACGAGACGTTGCTTCCGGTGTTCCGTTCGTCTTGGCCACGGCCGGAAACCGCAGATCGTGCACCAGCAGTCGGTGGAACGAAAATTATAAGCGTGTACCTTTTGTAAGCAGAGGGCTGACTGATAGTGGGGGTGGCGCAATGCGGCTACCCTGAATTGCATCCCCCCAAGAACGGACAAACAGGTCGTTGCTGGAGATCTCCGGGACCAGAACCGCCCTTCTCGAAGGATACTTGTCCTCGTGTAACGAGAACGAGTTAAGTGACCAAAAAGAGGACCCTTAAGCATCAAATTAATTTATCATAAGTATTATTTTCCCACCCCTTTACCTCGCGATATCGTGCCAGCCTTTCTGTATTTTGAAAATCAGAAAAATTGCAAAAGGTTGCAGAACGTAATAACGTGCTCCGTAATTAAAATCAAGTGCCCGTCGAAGGAGATAACCAACGGCAGCGTCACTCTTTAGAAATTCAGATCTGAAACGCGTCGCAGGATGTTTTACGCTTCGATTCAGCTCGCTGCAAATCGAATTGCTCCTCGAGGCTAGCAGACTCATCTAAACCCGCTTCACGTTACTTTTTCTACGTCAGAAAGTCAGATTTTCATCGATGCGACACGTCGCGTCGGTTCAGACGCAAAGCTCGCGGGGATATCCAGAAAAGAACACCCTCGAGTGGCACACGTTTCTGGCCGATAAGGGATCCTTCGAGTCGGTTGCCTTCGAGAAACAGAATTTCTGTCTCTCGGATTTGGGCTTTGACTTTGCCTCCGTGTCTGTCAGTTTCCTGGTGAAAATCCTCGTTTAAATGCGAACCACCTACCTCTTCAGGTCTCGCTATCCACTCGACGTACCTCTTCTTCGTGCTCTAGAATCAGTCAACGCAGTATCTGCACGCTCTGCGTCTCTATTGAAAGCTCTTTACGAACTTGCATTGATTAACAGTAGACCTCTTCTTCGAAGCAAAACCCTAATTAACTGATAATGATCATTGAAATTGAATAAAAATTCTACTGCGCTCGTAATCTTCTTAGCTCGTTGGCTACCGCAGTAGAACCGGTCGTAAGTAGTAAGACACAGTGGTAATTAACATTAATAATGAACTATTTTGAATATACTACTAAACGTTTCTAGAGAGTAGAAAATTTTTTATCTGGGTATGCGAGGGATTGGGAAAAGCAGCTGCATCGTAGCCAAATCTGTCAGCCTAGTTCTTTGATCTAGCAAGTAAAGTGTAGTAGTATGCGGTAGCATTCACTTGCAACGGCGTGAAAAGTCTCTCGTTCCACGTTGCTTTTCCCCACTGATGTTACACACAGCCTCGTTCCACCTTTCATCCCTTCCTATTCCTCTTCTTTCCTCTCGTCTCGCTGAACTAACCCCCACCAACGGATCTCGGTGTATCGAACGGTCTATGACGTCATTGAACTTTCTGTGACGTCATGTCAGTAGTTCTCAATCGGAGAGAACTACGCACTTCCGGCGAAATAATTCTCGAATCGTCTCATCGACGAAGCTCCAGACGTTTTCAAATCTAGGATTATTCCTTTGATATTTTTGAAAATTTCATGTTTAATTAAATATATTTTCTGATTAAAGAATTGGGGGATATTTGAATTTTCTTACTGACGGTAGAGATGATAGCATTGAAAGGTTCTTTGGAATTCTAATCAAACGGGATATTAATATCTGCGACAACCTCTGCTCTGCATCGAAAGGGTTGCGTGGGCGGTGTGTTTGCACGTGTTCGCCACGAATGGAAATTCAAGAGATCAGGGAAAGATGTAAAAAGGTGGTAAAGCAGTGCCACCAACCCCCGAAGACCATTGATCTGACATTCCCCGCGGTGACGTCATGCTCGTCCAATAGAAACGGGTCAAACGTCACGAAAAATGGCTATGCTTCTCTAGGATGCTGGCTGTGTTTCAAGGATGTCGACTTTGTTAAATGAGATCCGTCGGTGTAAACTCATTACATATTTCATTTCCATACACATTAAGAGGTTTCTCTAACTTTTATCGAATGTAAACAAGGTAATTGGCTTAGAAGCATACTAGTTCAAGGATGTATTTTAGCGTAAAAATAGCAAAGCTTTAGAAGTGGTTATATATTTCTTCCTTTTCGGTGAGTTCCTAATGTTCGAATCCTTTTTTAAAGAATTGCTTCTTACGTTGGCTGTCTGACCATCTGTTGAATAAGCAATAAATAATAAAGATTGTTTGGCGAAGTTTTGGGTAGGAAATTGTGAAGCTTAAATCTGAAAGGAACATAAGAGATAGAAGAGAAAGGAAGGAGTAGTGTACCGTCGAGAGGTCCTTGCGCGAGAGAGGACTAAACTGCTTGTTTCTGGCACCCTCGCAACAAGGGGGCAGTAACACGTTGAATTTTCAGAGATATTATTACGTAACGGCACTCTTTTACTACTAGCACAGAAGTGCACAAGAACTTGCTCTGCACTTTTGTTCGGAGGCCTCGTTATTTCGAGGAGACGTCAGAAACTCGCACTCGTTACTAAGCGTACAGTCAATTGCTACGACACATAAACCAGAAGATTTTTCAGGATTTCTCTTTGTAGCATACCGTCATCCATAACTCTTTTTTTTTGTCATCTTTGACTTGCTAATCGCCAGGATGATGTATCAATTTTCAAGTGACATAGGCAAAAGTATTGAAACCGTTTTCACAACTCGATACAATTAGCTTGACTCTTCAGATGCAAAATAGCAGGATTGAAAGCCGTATCGTGAAATATGAAATGTTTCAATTAACAGCAATATCAGTTGGGTAACAGATGTCGAACGCGACAAGGACAACCCGTGAATATCAAAGTAATTTGTAACATTATTGGAAAGCTGGACCGTCTGTGCGAGGGCGTATCTACTCTGACCTTTTCCCTCGTTTAGAATCAACCTGTTTGTGCAAATAACGCAATCCCGTCGAGTTTACAATTATCCCGCGAAAGCGATTTAACAGATAAAATCGGATGGAAGTTTGATTAAATCGAAGAAACTCGAAGGGCCTTAACGAGCGATTCAGAGCCCCTTTCGATCTCAAGATCACGGTATAAATAAATTCGTGGTGCGTAAGTTCGAGAGAAATAGCATGCTCCGAGTCTTTTTCCGGCTGCTTTTCCTCGTGCAGAAACATTTATTTTCCTACAAGTTTTCAAGGCTGACTGCGAGCAAGGAAATTCCTTGATAAATTGTTTGTGAATTATTTAAGAAGCACATGCAACATTTCTGACCAAGCATCTCTGATAGAAAACTAGCGTAACAAATGTTCGCAAGGATTGAACTTGTTTGTTATAGGTACCATTAGTCATTTCATTGTCTTCTTACATTTACCTCTGCATTTAAGAGATTTGTAGCACAGTTACCGCGGACAGAAAATATATACAGCAAGACTTAAGTGCACCCATTAATCAGCAGCAGAAAATTTGCTCCAGTTATCGCGATAAGAGTGGGAACAGGATAACCCAATTTCTTTGCCGAAGAAAAAAGCGAATGAATAAAGTGTACGGTCGGGGACAATTGGGATCGCGGGTTTCATCGTTGGAAAAATAATCAGCCCCGTGCTAAAAAGGACCCGGACCCTGGTCGATCGGAGGGTTCGCTAACCCTAATATCGCACCGGTACGTTTTCGCGAATGGTGAAACCGGATTGCAGAAGCAGAAAAAGAGACAAGATAGGGGTAGAAACCAGTGGAAGAGATGGAAGAGAGAACGGACATCGGTGAATCCACGAAAACAGTCATGCGTTGTGGGCGAGTACAAAGTTGAGGGGTGAAGGGAGATAGAGAGGGCGCAGATTCTTCCCGGGTGCTTCCATCCCTCCTCTCTTTATCGATCCTTCTCCAGCAGCAGTAGCGCAGCATCGTCGGCAGGAATGAAGAACGGTGACCGTAGTATGTAGATCCTCAGTGGGTACCCGGCCACTATGCCGGCGGAACATCTTCGATCGGTGCTTCACGCATTGCGTCACGCTGTGCGTCATGCTGTGCTCTCCTAGCAACGATGTAGGGAACTCGTAAAATCGGTCAGCAGCCGAAACAACAATTTCAGGGAAGACAAGGACCCGATACTTCGGTTAGGGTGGCACCAACAGTTGCCCGTGTGCTCTATCGAATAGGTATTGAAATGACTTTGCTCGGTGCCACTTCTTGGGGGATTTAATTTACGACCTCTCTATATCGTGACTAGGAAGATGCTCGTGCAACCCCCGATGACCTATTCCTTGCTATCTTTATCGATGATTCTCATGAATGAGCCGGGCATTAAATTTCTGCACAGGGCAAACTGAATCAGCTGAACTTATCAGGCTACCTAAGTTGAGACACGTTTTATTACACCCGGCAACCCTTAAACGAGACCTGGAAAGTTTCGGGAATCAATCGTTTGATAGTGGAAAAGATTTGCAAGGTGGATTGAGAAAGCATAAGCGTGGTAGGAGAATCGGCTAGACAGGGGGCATAGCTGCGTGTCGTATAGTTACATCCCTGTGCGAGGCATAGGTGCGCCGGAGTGGCGCGCAGGTGTCCGAAGTTCCTCGAAGACCGCCAAAAAGCATCGAGGTCGAACGGGTGGTGGCGGTTTCGACCGAGAAGCCCCGGAAACGAACGATCCGTTGCGAACAGACACGAGCTAGACCCGGTGCGAGGTAGTGGCGCTCAGTGCGGCCGCCGGTACAGCAGCAAACACACTCGCGGCTCGGCGATGTTTCCGCTCAGCTGAACTGAGCGCACGAGGGACGCTCTCTCGTGTCCTCCGTCCGCGCAGGAGGGCATTTAACCCAACGTGTTTTTTATCTTCACCTTCCTCTGTCTCCTCGATCTCATCTCACGTTCGACCACTTGGCCAAGCACGCGCCATCAACGCTATCATCGACTCACCACCAGCAACCACGAAGTAAGTGTCTTCTGACATATTCCTTTTCCCCTTTCATCGTGAACCGTTGCACGAGCGAAGGTGTGTTTAGTTGAGATTGATTCATGGTAGTAGTGTCAGTTCTCGATGGAATTTGCGATATTTCTTTGCTGTGCATTTGTACAATCTCAGTCTATGTTTACATATGCCTTCTTCCATCCTAGATAATAACGAGACTTCACAATTGTTGTATGTGCGCGTGACCATTCGCTTCAGTAATTTCATGAAGTTTGAACGTCCCAGTGGACCGATTTGGTCGCAAGTTTACCATGTAGCTAGTGAAACGAAAGCACGGGGTTGAAACTCCATGGGAAGTTTGAATTTGAATCGTAACGATTAAAATCGAACTTCAGCGTGTTTCTCTGTCACGGCATCGGGTTTCGTGTAGAGTCACGTGAGGATGAGGAAAGAGTGGGCAGATCGATTTTAATCGTGTGCAACACGGCAATCGAACGGTACTGAACAACAGAAAACGGCATAAAAATAGAAACGAGCAGGACGACGTGTACTTGGCCGTAGCCTATCCGATACGATGTTATCCTGCCGCGGTGGGTGTCCTTGTTCTTGCGACCGCCATTACGACATGTCAAGGCAACAACGCATACGTACGAGTAATGTTAGATCGGTACGATAGTCCTTACCGATAACAGCGTAATCATTTCTCTGAACAAAACGTGATGGATTGTTGAAACTTTCGTATAGACAAAAGTTCCGTGAACCACCTTGCCCTTGGTTAAAAAACAACGAATCTCTGAGATGATGTACGTTTTCATAGCGACGAGTGCGAAGCGTACAACAACGAGTCGATATATTGATTCATTTCCGATAATATATTACCTGCCAAGGTGATAACGCGTGTACGAGTATATATGTCGTCTACGCACCTCGTTAACCAGCCTCTGTCTTTTATTTCAACTAGATTTCCTCCGATATTTTCAGCTGTACGGAATTTTTATCGCAAGGAAACTGTGTCAAATACATTCGGGACGTTTTTCAAACGTTTCGCAATGATTTGGTATCGCGATAGTTACGCGATAAAGCAGTATAGCATTAGCAATTCAAATTACTATGGGAAACAGCCCCATAAACGGCACTGCGAACACTCAGATATTTGTGTAACACGGAGAAATGAGCGATGAACGTCGATGAGTGCTATGTCGACTTCGGCAAATCTCATAAAACAGAATGGTTAGCCATACTGTCTTGTATCATCGTGATCTTCTGTTTACTTGCTCTATTAGCCTAGATTAAAAAATATTTAAGTAGTCTTATGAGAGTTTCTGATCCATCGTAGCGTTAATTAACACGAGAAACATTGACTCATCCTCATCGTTTGGTCTTCAGAAATGTAAATACCTTCTTATTCCTATCCAGAAGAAATTTTCTCGGCTATCATTTACGATGATGTTGCGATATCGTAACTGATAGCTGGTCAAATATATCGATTACAGGATTGAAGTAATAGTCTGTAACACAGACTCGACTGCATCTCCGTGCAAACTGCAATGAACGAAGGGTGCATGACCCAGACACGGGCGACGATATAGAACGAACCGCGTGTATTTCTAGAGCACTGGTTAAGAATAGCACAGTAACTAGACGGGTGAATTAAAGATAGCTGGTGAACGACCGGCAACTATATTATGAAATTTCATTGAAGTTACGGAAATCCGTTAGGGTAGCTTCCAAGTTGTCCCATCATCCTAGCTAGTCGATTGCCTTCTCATGGTACTTCGCCAGTCAATCGATAGACACGGTGGTAGAAGTTGAAAATGCGTTTGTTCAAAACTGATAGCTGCACCTAACTAAAGTGCAAACTTTTAGAAACTTTCCGTGGACCGCTTTGACTCGACTCGAGTTGATTCTGTTTAGCTTCGTTTCGCTGCATTTCAACTTGGCTCTGTTCGATTTAGATTTCACTTGGCTCGACTTGACTGAACTTTGATTTGTCTCGTCTAGTAACACGAGTATATCCCGGCTGAAAAACATCAGCGATAACGTGTTCGATAAATAACAGTTGTTGATAGCCGTCATCTGTAATAGAAAGTTGTTTCATTGTAGATATAGTCGAGTGACGTTAACGAGGATTACAAACATCGATAAAATGAGGAAGGAAAATTGCACGAGCACAACTTCGGCCAAAGAATTGTAAAAAAAACGATTTGATGGGAAACCAATAGCCGATACTCGGTCCTTGCTGACCTAAAACTTCGTCTCCTGAATTTTATTACTCGCTGCAAACGATTTTATGCACCTTTATTCTTGCGATAATTAAAATAAAAAAAGAAATTGCCTGTCTTATTCTTGATTTTGCCCCCAATACTGTGTTCTCTTAACGAGTACAGAAGTTTGAAATGACCGTGGAAAGTTTCACAGTTTACAGCTGATTAACTGGACCGAACAAATGATCCATTATGAGACTTGGAAGCTACACTTCTCTGTCGACCACATTCCGGGCAACTAGAACGGTAACAGTGCCGTTTCAATATCCTCAATGAAGTACAATATACCGGTACAGGCTATTGTCTAACACGCGAGTAATCAGAGGCGATGTCACTAATTAATCGACACTGAAACCGTTTCTCTTTGTCGTGAATCCTCCACAGATTTTCACTATAATGTATGACTACAAATAACCAATCAGTTCAACAGAAAAAGACGCATTGTTCTACATTTGAATAAAAAAAAAAAATTATGCCTGAGATATTACGGTGCTTTTTTACTGAAAATTACAGTAGTATCAACGAAAATAGTCAGACAATTCTAAAATTGAAAAGATATTCTATTCTACATTTGAATAACCGATGCCACATGAATTTTCTGTTTCAGATAATTAAAAATGCCAGCTGTACCGGCAGTAGCCGAAGGTGCAGGCCAACTGGAGGACCTGGACGAGCCTCCAGAGCCACGAGTTCGCGGAGGAAGCGGAAGAGCAGGGCTGATGAAGCCGCTGGTTGTCCTAGCACTTCCTGGCATGTACCTCTTCTATAAGTACAGCCAATACAGAAGGGAACAGCGCGAATTGTCTCGTAGAAGGGTCACCGAGAGGGAACTTCAGCATCTTCATCACAAAATCGTGAGTACTCGGTTCAAGTACAATTGATTCCTACGAGGAAAAGACAAAAGTTCTGTCTCGTTTGAAATCGTAAAGCGTTCCTATATTGCCTTCAAATTCCTAAGCTTTCTCGAGACGTTATTTGCTTTGCACTCGTGCACACTTGGCACTCTATCGTGGCCGATGCCTCAGGCAATTGTCTTGGTTATCCCACCTGTTGTAACTTTTCAACGATCTCGTAGCGCATCTCGTGTGCATCAAGAAAACGAGGTGAAGGTTTGATTTCTTCGTTCCAAATAAAAACCGAGCGTTACGGATTCGTTCGTCGGGGTTCATTATATTTTCATCGAGTTCCCAAAGTGAACGTCTGATCCTGAAGCTTTCCCTGAATACTAGACAAGAACAAAACATTGCCAGCTGACTTTTCATTGAACGCGTACTTTTTCCACCTTCGCGCTTGCAACGATTTAATCCTGTTCGGTTATTATGAGGAATTTAACCAGGATCGTGTTAAAGATAGCTGAAAACACGATATCTAAGGGAATAGATAGGAAAGGGTAAGAGAGGATGAGATGGGGTAAAGAGGGTGGTAGATCGAGGGAAGAAGGGTTCAATTACCCGAGGTTAACGCGATCAACTCTTGCTGGAAAGGTTTTGTATCACCTTCTAAAGGCCAAAGTCATTTATTGCTGATGTTTCAAAATTTTGGTAGTATCCTGTTTTGTTTATACAAAGTGTTGTAAATTTAATATTCAATAGCACATCGAAAATTTACTTAAAGGTCACCTTTGAAAATTGCCTCCATCATTCGCGGTTCAGTAGGTCAGTCGCAGATTTGGCAGGATCCGCGAAAAATGGAAAATGGGGAAAAAAGTGTGCCTGTCAGGAAGCCTGCCAAGGAACAATATTCACGGCCGAAGGATCGACACGATCGGGATAACTCGGATACTTAGGTACAGTGTAGTATGGCCAACATTTGCCTCCCAATCCAACTCGAATTTCTCGAATCCATTTAGTTCTGTTCCTTTGATTTACGACCCTCTCCCTTTCCCTTCTCTGTCAAACATCGAAAACAAGGATATGATATTCGATTCTCCAGAATCCAAACCATTTCACAAATCCAAACGAAATAGAGCGATGTAGAAAACTGATCTACTCTGTAAAATTTATACGTGTTCTGAAAGTTGGTGGAACCGACAGCTCCTCAGGGAACTTCCAATATTTTATAAGATATCGATTCATCGTATACTGTCAATCATTGGTCGCTTTCAAGATCAATCATCTTCAAAATTACATTTTAAAGTAGAAACTCGGTCAGAATAGTGGACCAGTTAAACGTTCGCGTGTCGGTAAACGACGACCAAAGCCTTGGAATTTTTAGACCTTATCATAATCCAGGTCGATAACGACCTTAATAACAAGCCCCAGGATCATTAATGATTGCAACCAATCAACAGACTTCTTTTATTTTTTCTTTTTCGAACATCTTAAACGTTCTCGCGTGCGACCAAGCGATCGAAAGTGTGCCTGAAATTTTCTAACGATCGATCTGTCGCTTTCAAAATATGCAAATGATCAACAGTAGTCAAGGAATTTTTAATTGAGTACTGATAGCGAACGTGTTAATAGGGTATGTCGGTTGATTGATATTTCGTATCCTTGCGTGAGAATTTATAATATTTTTGGTAAGTCACGAGGTCAAAGTAAGCCTCAACCTTGACGTTACACGTGGATGTTGCGAATTGGCCAAGTAGAAGTTGCTGGAAAGTCAAGCCCTTTTCTTATTGCTGTTCGAAGGACTTTCGTAACTTAGATTTAGTTAGACGTGCTGATAGATAAGGTGCACGCTAACTTTGCGTTAAGATCGCGATTGTCGGTGTACGTGAACCTTAAGGTGTTCTTTTAGTCTAGTCAAATGCCTTTGCTGTGTAGGCAAAAAAAAAAAATTGGTGGGTGGTCACCGATGTGCGTTAGAATCTGTTTGAAATTTAGCAAATTCAAATTATTCGATGTAAAATACAAATAAGCTAGCTTAGCGCGAACGTGTTAATTTCCGAGCGTTAATTACGTCTATTTGAAAGCAAGAGTATCGTGACCTTATCTATAACAATACATAACGCATGGATGACGCCAGTGAACTCCCTTTGTGACAATGAACCGTTTGTTCTACTTGCACGTGTGCGCGCGATGGTCGTACCATGTTTAGAATGGTGTGTTGGCGTTAATTCTGAATGAAACGAAGTTAATTAAGAGTAGCGAAGCGAATTAAAAATGAAACGGAAAAAATATACTAGCGACCGGTTGGTCAACGACCCCAAAGCAACCCGGTATTAAGGGTTGAATAATACCATTAGGCCGGCCGCACGAACCCCCATAATGCGCAGACCTTAGAAATGCCGATCGATGCAGCTTTCCGCTTCCGTTAGATTACACGAGGTTCGTCCACTTTCCACAACACAGGTCTTGAGGATTATCTATCTAACCAATTTGCTTACCCGTGTTTTTATTTATTAAGGTGGTGCAAAAATATTAGACGGCTGCAAAAGCTTTTGCAGTAAATTCAGCGATTCCTGGTCAGCCACGGGGTAATTAATTTTTTATTCTAGCCTTGTTTCAGTGATACTTTGTATTATCTTTCTATCCTTGATTTTTAATTATTTAACAAAATTAAAATTGTAGCGTCGGTCGTTCGAGAAATCCGTAACAGCTCAGGTGGTAAAACTTTAAATTTATCTTTAAGGGTATCTCGGAAATTCTCTGCTGGCCTTTCTATTCCTCCCTTGTTCCACGCTTTTACGAGCTATTATTTTAAAAGCGACGAACAGGGAAGATCGATTCCTTTCTCCCATAGATATTGAATTCCACGTGAACGGAAATACGTTCGAGGAAAATTGTAAATTGAAACAAGAAGTGTTGCTCGAACGTCTATGATTTTAGTGAGACAATTCTAAAGATCACACTAAGAATTTGAAATAACAAATTAAAGAATGATATATAAAGATTAATGTACATATTATGGGTTGGCTGAAACGTTGGGGTGGTTTGGTGGTTGAACAATGTGACAAGCCTAATTACTGTCGGGTCTGGCCCTTCAGGTTTTAAGAAGTGCTACTTCAGCACACACTCGTAGGTTGAAGTAATCTTAAAAATTAACGACGTTGTTGTAAACGATGTTGGTCGTTTATCTTGGTGCTTTGGGACAAAACCGATAAGGGAGGTTCGACCAATCGAGTAACTCATAATGCTCATCAAAATCTCGTTTACTCTTGTTTAGTGCAGACTGCTGCATTTCATGCAAGATTATAAAATACCCCGTTATCGGTGGCTTGTTCAAACTTGAATGCACTACAATTTACACTTCTTTTGTAATTTTTTTTTTTCAAGCAATTGAGAATATTGAATGAAAGTAACTAGTTTCAAAGTTTCAAATCGGATTATTAGTTTAGAAGCATTGCTCGTTTCGCCTGTTGCATAATCGAGTGTTTCGTTTAATCGTTCCTGCCGTAAGAAAACCTTATAGTTTCCTTGATCGAAACTTAGAGCTAGCTGTAACAACGTTTAAATGAGATCGCAGAGAAAGATCTTGAAAGTAGCCTTTTGAAACGTAACTGAGATCGTTTATCGAACTGAAGTTGTACAATTTCGTGTGAATATACTCTAGGCTCAGGCTTAGTGCACTTTCATTAAATTTAACAAGAATCGAGAATGTCTAACTCGAGTAACTACGTGATTTTATTCCTTCCTTAAACCTGTTCATTATTTTGCAATTGTGTAACCTTTAATTCTATGCAAATTAAAAGAAATACCAGGTCTTGGTTGTTTTTATATATAATTTGAATTCACGTCAGTAGAAGTTTATAATTCGAGCAGCTCTGAATTTCAACCCCCTGCTTCGTAATTTCTCTGACATTTAACTTCATGCAAATTAAAAGTAACGCCAGGCTTCTTGGTAATCTTGTTTCGTACAAATGTTGCTTTGTTTAATTTTGTTATCTTGATACATTATTCGAGCAATTCAGCAGTTCAATTCTTTTGACATTTCACTTGATTAAAAACATCATTAAGCTTCATGGCAACGTTATTTCGATTTTGTATTTTTATTTTCATACTCGGCCCTAGGAATTTACACGTTTACACGTTATATGTAACACCGTTGAATAACAGATGCATTCGCGTTCATTAAAGCTTTCAGATTAAAAGTATAATCATGTAAAGTTAAAAATAGATTATAAACGGATAATACGGATAATCGTCGGATGAATCGTATAGAGCTTCTGTTATAATTAAAGAACATTAGCAATTCCCCCGTCACCAATTAAATTCACTCGTATTTCGAAAATATCTCTCGCTGCTTACCGCGGCCGATTTTCTGGCAGATCTGAATTCTTCAGGGATAAAAGTAGATAAACACTGGGAGATTGGATCCTCGAAGCTCCTATTTCTAAAAGCACCCTGAAAATTTCAAGCAAAAACCGAGAAGGGAGTTCGATAAAGAGGAACGCGTCGTATAATGGAAGTTCATTCTAGCTGGAGGGCATAATTCGGTACTTCCGTCACGATGCACCTCTCTCTTCCTTCCGTTACCATTAATGGTCGCCATAGAAGTTGCTCTAGAGTTTCAGCAACCGAATGGATCTTTCTTTCTATTGTCTGCTCCCGGTACCAAGAATGGATAAAACTGTATCAAGTATAATTTCTTCTGTAATGGAAAGGAACGGAGGAGAATGGGCTGACGGTACGAAGATGCTTCAGTAAAAAAAAAAAAAAAAAAATGCGGTTATTTCGAGCGTTGCATTTCTAAAGGTTCTATTCAAGAGCCGAGGCTTCGAGAAAAAATTATAGCGACCACATTTTTAGCTTCGTCGAAAAAATAATATCCGAAGCGGTAAGTCTGAATCGTTCAGTCAGCAACGTTAAGCTGAGAATTCATTTGAATCCACCGAGATGAATATAATTCCCGTTTGTCGATGCCTCTTACCGAACGACCGAAAATGTATGCAGGAAAAAAGATTGAAGGCGAGAACGCGTAACAATTGAAACAAAGAGCTTAATTATCCTGGGGCGAGATTCTGAACAAACCTGCAGAATACGGCAAAAATAGAATGGCGACGATACTTCAGGCTATCTTCAGGGTTAATGAGGTTCCATACATAGAGAACGAGTACGAGCGCATCACTGTAGTTTCGACTCTCTTCTTCTCGTCAGCAATTGAAAACTATCGTGTTCGCTATTTCGATTCGATGGAAAGTTTATGAAAACGATTGCGTGTAATCGCCTGATCGAGGGTGTAGATGCAACACGAAACGAGAGCAAATCTTCTCGATACTTATATTCTCCCCTAGAGTTCAGTTAGTTCACCTTCTGAAAGGCAACAACAGCTTAACGATCTTCAGCAAGTCTAACAAGTCCCTAGAGATTGTTAGCATCCCTGGACTGATCTATAAACGCTTGATATCCACGGGAATCCATTACTGTATCCCGATACAGCCGCAACAGTAATATTTACGTTGCTTTGAAGCACGAATGCACGAAGATATAAATGTCATGCACGTGCCTCGATGCATTTCCTTCGGAAAATATGGCGTGGCTTGAAATTGATGGTACAACTTGGATGCGAGTGATTTTATAACTCTGAATAAATCAACACGAAGGTTAAATTAAGACCGTACTGCTGTAGGGTTATAACTTTGGAACAGATTAAACGGAAAACATCAGAAAAGCATAAAAATTCAGGTGAAATAACGGCGTACGGCAAGAATGAAAAATAAAAGGGTGAAAAGAAGAATGAAACAAGGGATGTGGAAACGAGTGGTAGCACGTGACGAAGGATCGCGTCATTTATGGAAGGCGTTAATGAGGCGTTACTGCCTCGAGCGTCACTGCCGGGTGTGTGGTGCATTTTCCACTGTGTGGAAATAATCAGGTGACGTCACGAAAGCATACTCGTACCGTAACTTAGTCACGAAAAAGAAATTGTTGAATCCGGTGCTTGTTCTACGTGGCATTGTTATAAAACACTGAAGGAAGGAAGTTAACTTTTTTTTTTTTTTACCTTCCGGGTGAAAAACATTTACAGCAATACATTTTATAGAATGTCAAATGTAAAGTATCAAAGATTACCACCGGTAGCGTTGAAAAAGATGATTCAGCGTTGTTTTGTCGCGTTTCAAAGGCACATTTCCCTGGTTAGCGTGCAACACGACAAGAAAGCGATGCAGAGGGACACATAAAAGGGGTAGGCAACCCTGTAATGTGACCTTTTCCAAGAACGACCGTGTACACGCAGAAAATAACGCATCGAAGGGTTGTTTCGTATCGTACCTGATGTGTTCGTAATCTGAGACAGGAGAAAAAGAAGGGACAAAAGGTAGATCGATAGAGTAGAGGCAAAGGAGTGGCGGTAGCCAGACATTTCGTGTTTCGTTCTCTATTTCCGCGAGGGACAATGCACCTTCATCGACGCGGGAATCGAAGTTGCTGATATAGGGAAGCTCGCGATTTGAATGCAGCAGAGACTGCGCCGACCAGACGGTTATTCCATTTCATTCCATCGATTCTCTCGCTGTTACTGACAGCGATAATAGACCCAATAACATTATAATGTCTCATTGCAGTTAATCCTCTGAGAATCTCTTTTTAGCGATTCGTGTTTTCGTAGATTGTCGAATAACGTTTGATCTACTTTCGTGATTCGTTGTTTGAAATGGTAAAAGGAGAACGCGAAGGATGATAAAAATTTATAAGGACATGAAATTTGAGACATGCGTCTGTTTGAAAATGAACTTGGACTTTCGTTACCGTTCGTTTCGTCTCATCGAACTTGAACAAATGGCGTGTAACGCCATCTCCTCTGAAGAATCCCAGTGAAAACACTTGACGATGAAACACAACCTACTTGCTTACATGAGAAGCGCAGAGGATATCCTTTTCCCAGGGGTTCTCCAATGGCGTTTAACCTATCAAGCCAGCCCATAAATAATCCCTCCTTTTGTTACTTCGTTCCGAAGGGAAAGCAGTTTCTCGTAAATTGAATTTCATGCAGCTACACGGATTTTCTGCTCGAAAGCTACCCTGACAACCAGCTTGGACCCTATCTTTTAACTGAAAGCGAATTTTTTGACCCGGAACACTCGTCACGGGATCTGCCATCAGCAGGCTCACTCTGCAGAGTGACTTCCACTTAACTCGAACATCAGCAAACGAGAATTCTCGGGGGAATTATGTAAAAAGAACACGGACATCTCTCTTCCGTGTTGATGAGACGAACCAACAAGAACTCGACGTTCTTCTAGTACCTTGAATGCCATGAAGACCAAAGCTCTGCTGGAATTTTAACGATCAGCGTCGGGAAACTTTAATTAAAGCGCCATTAACGTTTCCAAAGAGAGTAATCGGTTGTGGAAATTGTTTTTCGCGCCAAACTTTTTTCCAGATAATCCTTTTTAACTTCTCGAAAACTTTAATAGTATTAGTGAATTGGAAAGGTAAGAAATTAGAAGCGGATAGAATTGAAGTAAAAAAAAATTTGGGAGTTAGTAATACGAGTATGCAATTTAAATAAAAAAACCAGAACAATGCGACGACGATAATGTTTTGTCTTCTTTTTTCTTTTTAATTTTCTAAGTTCTTGCGACAAAAGCAAGCCAGAACACCCGTGGGATTTCCATGACAGCAAAGAGAAATGTGCTGGCATCTAATATACGGTACGAAGCGTGTTGACTGCAAGCTTCAGGTCTTTACAGCCGAGGTGCAGTCTTTCAAGACTAGGGTCATCTATAACCCCGGCCATAGGTCGTCGATCGTTATCGACCTGTCACTACTGAATTTTTTAGCGAACGTACCGAGTTGACTGACCCATGGCTTTCCTCGAGATTGTAAGATTTCTCTTTCATTGCAAGCTTTCAACGATGACATAAAAGAAAAAATAAAACACGGTTTTGAATTATTTTCTTGGATTCATGGAAAACAAGGGATTCGATGAAAAGACGAAAGTTCAAAGGGCTTGTAAGAGAAATTATATTGTTTCCACTTTACATTATTCATCTTTTATCGATTCCTGAATTTGCATCTCATTGCGTGTTAAGGATGTATGATTCATCTAACAATGACAATGGTTATCAATTTTTGAGGAAATCTGCTTAGAATCTGTTGAATTCCCTTTCAATTTCAATGACGCTTTTTTTTTTATACAGAATATCGTAATCAAAAACTGCAATAATTATTTTATAAATTAAGATGCAACGTGTGAAGTGTCGGGTCAATTTTATTATGTTTCGGTGGCTGTTTTAGACTACGTTACGTAACATTCAGCTTACGAATAGAAGCTTAGCTGTATTTCTATCGATTTCTCGAGAGTACTCTAGCCACTCGAGTCTCGGGAGTCTTTCCAAAATATCTGTTAAGGACTTTCCTTTGATAGACTCTTGTGTCAATATTTCGATGCAACATCTACATTTTTCACGCTAATGCTTTCGAATCAAAAAATGCATTATCGTTTGTTTAAGTAGAAATGTTATCCAACTCTCGTCGGTTTTAATTGAAGCAAAAAGCGAATGCATAAGAACCATGATGAAGATAAATGAAAATGCAGTGATGCAATCCTTCCATCATTTAGCCTGTTCGATCTCTTTCGAGGGAAATGATTCTACCTACTTTCGCTAGAAATGAAGTGGTGAATGTGGAAAAACCTAGTGGAGAAAAAGAGGGATAACCATTGTCTTGCATGGACGCCCGTCGGAGCATTATGGATTGGAAACTATCTGCTCTGCTGGTAAACGAAGACAAAGAGAAAAAGGAAGAGTACTGTTAAAAGCTTCATAGAAATGTCTTTGTTGGTACGACAGATTGGAAAGTCTGTCATCGAATGGGGTGTGGATCTGTAAATATTTTCCAGAAAAATGATTTTCTTGCAAGAGAAACTCAACGTCGTGGATTCGTGTGGTCATTAGAGGTTCAGTTTTCCAGCAAAATTGCTGCAAAATAAAAGCATCAGAGATAGCTGGAAAGCAGCCAACCTGGTCTTTTTTTTCTAACGTTTCCGAGTCTGCCAGAGATCGTGGATTGTATAAAATTTTTAATGCAATTACCCTAGCCTCGAAGGGTCCTTTCAGACAGCCATTATCGATCGTCTAAACTGGCGAAATAAGAAGACACTCGCCCTTGGAATTTCCATATTTCGAGGACGAGCAGAGTGCATCAAGAATAACGAAAATTGCGGTTTGCTTGCCGGTGAAATTGTTATTCGCGGTCGTAAAACAGGAAAACACTATTTCACTGGCAGTCGATTTTATTGTCATCTGATTATCATGGATCTATAAACGCAGAAAGAACGTCAGCCTGTACGTCGCGTCGGTTACGAACCAATAATATTTTATAAAGTTTAATTATCGTCGCCTTGCATTTGTCGTGATAAGTTCTATGATTCCAAACACTCCTTTTCTAGTATCCTCTTGATAAATTCAGAGGGCTAAAATGGATAACAACGTCATCCACTCGTCTGGTTCATCCAAACTCGATATCTCTCCTGTCATTTCCAAATGTATCCAGTGGTGTTTCTAGCGAAGGGTGCGTCTGCATTTGTCCTCAAGTAGAACTTTCCCCTGACCCTGCTGCTTACCGCGATTCCCATTAAAACGTCAGGGGTCCATACACAGTTTGCTCTGATGTTTGGGTGCCATTTTGGACAGCGACTGGCAGGAAATCCAAAAGGATTTGTAACCGACTCTGAGTAGTACATCCAAGCTCGATTGTGTCCACAAGTGACTGTACAAAATAAAAGTAAAAATTTATGAAGACGTGCTTGAAAGTATTTGTAAAACGAGTGGGCTTCGAGATGGTTTATTCATACTGTACGCTCTCATGAGTCGCGAAAAGCTCCTGCTTATCACATTTCCCGCGCTGCAGCCAGGTTGAACGGGTTTTCCACCGTTTGGATAAAAGTCTGCGTGGCCCAAAGGATTGGGGAATCCGAAATTTCCGCCATCGGTGTGAATCACGTCGACGAACATCGCGTCTGACGCCGTTAGATGTCCTTCTCTGCCAGTGTACATGTACAGAGGATAAGCCGCATCGAGTCCGGTGATTCTTCCAACCTGAACAACCGTACGTTTGCAGTAAAATCAGTTTATTGGTCGTGATTCAATTTCCGGAGACTCACCTTTCTCGGTGCCAATGCCTTTCCCATAAAACCAGCAATTTCAGCGCCTAGACTGAATCCAATTACATGCAAGCTGGATAAGGATACAGCACCCTGAGCATCCAACCAATTCACTAAACGAGCTACCCTAGGTCCTATGATCCTAGTGTTTCGAACTGCTGTCACGTACCATGGCAGGCCTCCCAATTTCGACCAATTCACCATGATTAGATTGTACTCGCCTCGTTTCAGATACGCTGGATAATTTGAGAAAATGTTAAACTGGTGACAGGCATGATTCTAATTCAAATTCAAGTGTCTCTTTCGAATGCAGTCCTTAGGTGAAATCGCACTGGTACAGGAACAAATTGAAGGAAATTCCAGACGATTTGGAAACTTGTGTCCGTAGGACGTTAGAAAGTTTAGCGTTGAAAGGGGTGAAAATGAATGTCACAGTCGGGAAATATGGATTTCCCGCGCGATACGTTCAAGTTTCCGTGAAAGGGTGAACTTTCAGAAGGATCCGCGATTTATCATTCTGTCAAAATGTCTTAGAACGGCTTGCTGACTCTTGTAGATACTAATGTCGCCGGTCTAGTTTCATCAATTTCCGTCTAATAAGTAGGACTATATCAGCGAATCGGACATTCGTGCTTTATGCAACGGCTTTGAAAAGTCCTAACTTACCTGTCGCCTTAACTTTAATATTAATATTTCAAAAAGGCTACCTTTTCGAATTGCACTGGCACTTCCTTCCAACACGCTCTCACTGTATCCGTGAATGAAAATTATTGTTGGAAATCTGTCGTCAAAATTACTAGCCCTCAGTGAAAAGGGTTCCGAAATATTCAACTTATCGCCACAACTTGGATTCCGTCTTATGTACCAATAAATGACATGAAACATCAAGAAAATGGTCACAATTTTTCTAAAAAAAATTGTATTAAATATCCGTGGTAAAAAACATACCTAGTGAACAGTAGAAACTCAATGTCACGTTCCAAGTCAATAGGACAGCAATAAGAACAAGTTCCGGCTGGAAGTGGAGTAAGATGGAGAGGACTCTCACCTGACGACATAAAGAAGGACACGAATAACTAACATGATTTTAGAACTTATGGTACTAAAAGTGTTAAAATAGGTTTGGCAGAGAAAGTATTGCGTTTGAAAGTTTACGAATGGACGAATGAATCATTGTTATCGCGAGACAATAATTGGAGGCGTAAAAACGAAACCAGGTTTTCACACTATCGATTACTGAACGTTTTGCTTCGATGGTCACATCTTGCCTCAGGATAAAATCATTTTGTATAGTTGTTGCAATGTTGAAACGAACAGCTATTCCTATGATTATAATCACTCTGTATGAGATAATGATAATTAGAAAGGTTTATTGACACATGGAAAACGGGAAACTATCGTGTGAAAGGAGCACAATGGTGTTAATGATTGTGTCGAGGAAAGTTGGCATCTAGTCTGCGTTAATTAATCATGTTAATTTGTGGTAATTCGATTCGTATTAGATTCCGTGCATCTTTGATTCTCTTGTTACGCTTTAAAGTTGGAGTGAAAGTAGCATGATCCTCACAGTTCGCTTAGAGGAATGTAACACTGGGTAATTTGTAATCGAACTCTACTGATTACTTTGCAATTCTAACATTCTCCTATATTTTGAGTTGCATTTTGATAAATTATGAAGCTGATTTTATGAAACACTAATTAAGACCAATAGAAGAAAGGTACTTAGTACATTTATTAATTTTCCTCACAAAATTTTAATTAACCAAGACGACGAATTCAATTTTACAACGAACAAAAAGAAGTGAAAAATTTCCATGGCTTAGTGAAAAGAAACTCTTAGAATTTTTCGATGAAAAGCGAGCTTGTCAGGAGCAGACTACCAAAAATTCAAACAGTGCCATTACTTAGCTCCTTCGTTCCGAGCACGTGTACGCTACAAAAAAGCTCTTCTTTAAATAAAGAAGAAAGAAAAACCCTGCCTTTCCGTTGCGCCTATTCTTTACCAGCACCAGCTTCATTCTCACAGAATTTAATTTATTATTAACCATAAAATTTATGGAAGTCTATCATTTCAAAGAGTCTGAGTGTTGTAGCGTTAATTACCTCTTCTAATGACGATTATACGGCACAACAGAGGAGCAAACAACATTGGTAACACCATGGTAACACTTTGAAACACCATAAAACCACCATGGAAAGAACTGCATCCTTGGATCCATGGATAGCACTGAGAGCAAACTGACAGAAATCGAAAGCTGAGATCGAGAAAGGATCTCAAGCATGACGCTACTCGTTACTACTCGCCTCCTTTTCTCCTAACGCAGTGAAAATTATTCTTTTTTTTTTACAATCAAATATTCTTGAACTAATATAAGGCTCCACTGAACTGAAACAGCTGAGGGTAATGAATATCTAATTAAAGTTGCAATCTACCAGCTTGATTAAAAAAGATCACTTTTACGCTGGAGTGAAAGTTTCTAGATCATTGAGATTTATTGAATCAAGGAATTTAAATTACATTTAAATACTAGGTATAAATTATTTATTATCCAGCTAATCTAGGTAGACGAATTTTATCACAGATGTGTAAGAAAAATGAATAGACTATTGAACTGGTACGATGAGAATTACCGATAAAATGGTAAGGGATAAATCATAAACTAATAGGATGCTTGATGACCATCTCGATTTCGAATGGAAACGACTGTGAATCAGGTTTCGATCGACGGAGTATCGAATGGAAATTGCACTATTTCCACGTGGTAATTCCATTAAGCTGTCGAATATAGAATTTTGAGGAGCTTAATCGACTCGGAGTTTCATATGCACAGTCCTTGGCTATAAATAGGGATAAAACGAATCCATTCCCTGTTTGTTGACTCTTGAAATGGCGCTGGATTGTTTAGAATGCACTCTGAAATTCCATTTGCATCAACAAACATAATGTTTATTAAAACACAAATATGGTATATTGGAAATATTTCAACATTTGTTTTCGAAACTCTATCCCTCTTCGTCGACCAGATAGAATGATAAAACGAAACCGAAAATAATTCGATGCGAAAGAGACTTTCACAAGATATCGAAGATGAAAAATGTCGCGGTGCTTTTCATTTAATGTCGAATGATCCTGGCAGAGGAGAGTCCGGTTGTTCCGCGCGTACGTGTATTTGGGTCAGGGTGCTTTCCAGATATTAGGGGGATGATGCGCAAAATATCCCCACCACAAGGTGCAGCATTTGGTACAGCAACTTTTCACTGTGACGCACTAGCCGTGGACCATCTCGAATCACAAGTCAGCCAATTTTCCATTTACACTTTGAATATCCGCCTATCGTTCTATTTCGCAGCGTTGCTTTTCTTTCGTCTAACAAAGATTGTTTTTTTTTTTTTTCACTCTTTTACCCTGATTTGACAGTTACCTTGAATTGAACGAGCCTTCTCTTTTGCATTCATTCATTTTTATTTTAATCTCTGAGAGCTTCTTTTGTATCTGATTCTACCGACATCTTTTTATCTGTAAATTTTTTTTTTCCCATTAATTAGGGATAGTTTTAGAAAGAATAGGAACGTTGAGATAGCGAATGTTGCATTAGTAATTTAATGCAGGTATTTGATTGATGAATGAAAGGGAATTAAAAATGAAAGAGTTTCATGATCGCGTAACGCGATCGAGTAATAAGCCTTGCGGAACGAAGAATATAAGGGAAGTGGTAAAGAAATAGTATATTGATCGATTCGTAGTACGCGTAACGTAAAAATAGCACTGGAAACTATTGATGAACTAGTATATCATTGTTATTCAAGCTTCCACGAAAGGGACGAGGTCTTCGATTTACCTGCCTTAAAAAGAATCAATCTTTATTCACATCCACCTAGAGTTTCCGTTTTAAATTATTAACAAAATGTATCTTTCTGTTTCAGGACAAATTGTTGACGAAGCTGGAAGAGAACGAGCCAGAATTAGCCTCTTCACAGGAAGATGAGGTAAGTAAATGACTATCATTGATAAAAAATTCCCAGCGAACATTCTCACTTAAAGTTTATCAGAAAATGAAAAAAAAATGTCTTAAGGATAGTTCGAATAGCGCGGCTGATATAATTAACACCCAAGGGGTGTCCCTAAGTTAATCCAAACGGTGATGGTGGGATAAGGTCAGCTGCATTTTCCATCGCCTTCGTCTCATTCGTTCTTTTTCTTCGAGTTTCCTCGGGGTAAACTCGTTACTTTCACCCTTGCTACCAGGGACAAGTCGTAATCAAGCCTAATTCGTAATTTCACCAGAAGGAGGACCGATGATTGGCGGGGCAATGAGATTTTCTCGTTTTTCTGCCGGCAAACAGTCGGGGATAAAGGAAATGGTAGATCTTTTTTTTTTTCGTGACATCAGTAAAAAATTTCAACGAATCAATCCTCTCTAACTCGTCAATGAAAAGGTATTATAGCCGATTCGAGGACTGAAAAGTGGATTTCAATTTTTCTTCATTTGTGCGAAACGAGGAGGAGAAAATATTTGATTCACTTTTACATTCGTTATTACAATGTAAGGGTGAAATGTTCGATTTAAATTTTAATCAACCCCTGAATGTTTCGTGTTTGAACTCGCGTTATTTCAAGCGTCCTAGATTATTTTTGCAACAGTGAATGAAAAAAATCCATACAACAGTTCGGAAAAGAGTGGAGGCGCAGGTAAAATTATCGATGATTAAACTCGATGCAGCGTGCAGAGAGCTGTCTGTCGTTCGAAAGACAATCGTTGGTCCGGAAAAGTTGCAATTTCCGTGCGAACAGGCCGCTCAATGGGTTGCAAAAGTCGATTAACGAGAGTGACAAAGTGATAGCTACGACCCTACGATTCCTGACATGTTCGTCCACCCTCGACGAGAGCTATTAATATTTCGATTAAGTCAACGCTTAATTTCGTTGCGTCGATCACGATGGCCGAGTTCCGCCAGAATATCGTTTTGACGAGCATTATAAAACAGCCATTTCTGACGTGTATTGGACTGGCAAAAAAATAATGTCTAATTTCTACATTATTGTTTTATTTCTCAGCGCTGTTCCTGTCTTACAACACAAGGTAGGTATCTTGATTATTATCCGTTAAAATTGACGCTTTGCTCATTTATTTTTTTTAACTAACAATCGTAGAAAAGAATGATGTTTATAGGAATCGTACGATTATGTAATTTAGCGACATTTACTTGTCACGTTTGTCATTACAGTAAATTAGTTTCCTGAGAAGATAAGCATCGTAATCGCTACATAAAACAGAGTATTATATAAAATAAGAATAATATCATGTTCTTTAAACCGGACAATGTATTAAATAAAACTGTGATATAATTACGATTAAAAGTGAAATTATCCAGCCGAATCCGTGTCTAGGAACATCATTCGTTTCCGTCGCCGGTCGTGACAAAAAACACGAAGAAGAACAAATTGTCGCGGACGGCGGATAATAACTGTCAACGGTAGCGGATGAGAACGACACTAGCCATGATTTTCTTTTCAATGTGTGTTCTTTTCACATGCGATGTACCGTGGAATGTTTCTTTATCTGATGCTTTTTGTTTCTCCTTCTACGTTTCATTATTACATCACGCACCGAGCTTAGAGTATTTATTCGGGCGATTCTCAAAACGAGGAGACAGTGTCAAAGCTACACAGGCACCATGAAGTACTTGTTCCTCCTATTCAGCGTCATCGCTCTCTTCGGGCTTGGCGTAAGCGTACGTAATTTACGATAATAATTATAGATTTACTTATTTTGGTGATAGAAATATTTATTAAGTCAAATTCGATGGATTCTTGACGAAAATCTTAACGTAGGTCCTTGGAGCGTCGCTTGGAATCAGTGATTCCACCACTTACAGTTCTCTAGTGAAACGTAGCCCCGAGGATGAACCTCCTTGTCCACATGGACACCCATGTGGACCCCCACCTGGTGGCTTCCATCATGGACCACCACCAGACGGCTTTCCTCATGGACCTCCACCTTCTTCGGATACAACAAATAGTGCTGATTCTATGAGCGATGATGCCCAAAGTAAAACCAAACGATCAGCTGAGAATTCCCAACACCCGCCTCCACCTGGCGCTGGTGGCATGGGCGGTATGGGGGGTGGTATGGAGGGATCCATGGGAGCATCCATGGGAGCACAAGTGGGTGGATCCGGGGGTACGTCAAAGCATGGATAATTGCTATGAATTGATGTTTGTCAATGGTGTCGATAGGGTTGAATGCCATGTACTTTTTGTTTAGGCGCTGGAGGTCAACCATCCATGGGATAAACCAACGTATAGATACATAGGTGTAAAATAGATAGGGACATTGTAGAATTGGTCGAGGGATTTTTGTTTGTAGTTTCAGTGAAAATGTTGAAATAAATTTGTTGATGAAAAAATGTAACACACGATGAAATAAATATTCCCTTCTTCTGTCTTAACCCCTTTTTAGATTAAAGGACTCATCATCACCTTTTCTTTAAATTAAAATTCAGTTATCCCTTTTCTCTTCTTACAGTGTGTAATCTGTGTGAATGCCAGAGCCACGATGCAAACGGCTCCATGTGGTCACAGAGTGGTTTGCAGGTAAACAAAATTTGTCTACCTCTCAAACTATTTGAAATTGTCTGTCCGCCATTTCTTTCGCATTAAGTAACGTCTATTCATCCTTCAAGAATATCTATTATTGGTACGTTGCAGGCGTTGCTTCGTGAAAACGATACAAATGGCCGTCTCACAGAGGGTTTTACCGTTGAGATGTGTCATATGCAGAGCAAAAATTCTACGTCTGAAGCAAACCCTCATCCCACGGGATGTAAGTGGCACAAAATATAATAATAATCCTTCTGGAATAATTTAATAGAATTTTTTATTCATTTTATAAACTACGTAATCATAAGACTTTTAAGGGCTCTGCATTTCTTATTTTATTTGAACCCTCGTTTCTTTGAATTCAGACGACGAAAACCACACGTGTTACGGTAACATGGTTATCGCATTCGTTGATTAAAATGGTGATTAATTGGAGCGAACTCGAAAAGCACTTATCGCCTTTCCAATACCTGTTCGACGCAGGTATGACCATTCCTTTCGGAACGATTTTAATAAGTATCGTTCATCCGGCTACCGTTTGCTCTTTTTTCCTTCCATTTTCGTGCAATTAATTCCGCAAAATTTTCGCTGTATGCAAGGGAAACGACCCGTGAATGATTCGCTTGGCTCGCTCGAGTTCGCTTTAATGAAACCTCAAAGTTATGGAAGCTCGATAACAACGAACCATAAACGGTTGGTTGGTTCAATTTTTATTTGACCGTTTCAATGGGGTCAACTCTAATCTCATTGCGTTTCTAAGACACTCTACATTATAAGTTCGTGCCGTTTCTCACATTAACCGAAGTATACTTGTTATAATTGTTTTAACTGCTAATGTTCGTTGCAGTACTCGATGTCTGGGAAGTCTTGCATCTTGCCCCAAAGTGCATCAGAGTACAATATGGGGACTGGGGTTTCCGTTGGGGTGACTGGACCTGGCGGTAGATGGGTTCCTGGAAATGTTCCAGCTTCTGCTTCCCTCTACTCCATGGCCAGTGGCTCGTCCTCTATTTCTGGTTAGTTCGTCATCATCTCGCACGAATTACACTAGTTTATTCATGCATGAGTTGATCGTAATCTTGTACGCGCAGGAGTGTCTTCCGTATCTTCTTCGAGTTCGTCTTCTGCAAGTAGCACAGGAAGTTCAAACCTTGGGAAACCTACGAGGGTAAGGCAACCTTCCGGTGCGACGTTAAGACGCTCGCAGACGCAATCCATGAAAATGAGGATTCAGGTCTGTTGAATGGAAGAGAGGGGAACATTTCGTTGAATTGATATTGAATATTTAATTTAATAAGTTGGAATTTTGATTGGATTTTAATCAGGAATACCAAGATCCGATTCAGCAAGTCGCTGAGGAGGAGGAAGTTATGAGGGAGAATCGGGAACGTAGATTGCCACCGATCAAAGAGTTCCAAAGGGACTATCGTGCTGGGAAAGCCTCCACTAGGATACGGTAATTTATAGAAATAATTTTTATGGAATCTTTGCGAAATCACACTTATCTCGAGTCGTATCTTTGAAATTTCTGTTGGACAGATGTGCTCAAAAAATCGTGACCCAATTGGAGACGTCGCCGAGTCCTAGGGGTTCGACTGGGGTGAACAACTCGACGTCTTCGTCGTCGGCTAGGTCAGCGGCGAAGAGGCCTCAGTCGGCGCCAAAATTGTCGGTCGTACAAGAGATTCAGAAATCGAAGAAAGAAAAAGAGCGAGAGAAGGAAAGGGAGAAAGCGGAGAAGGCTCGTCAAAAAGAAGAGGAGAAGGCTGAGAAAAGCAGACAGAAAGAAGCGAAGAAATTAGCCAAGGAGGAAAAGAAACGAGCAAAGAAGGAAGCAAAAGCGAGACGGAAGGAGGCCGAAGAGGCTCTCCTCAGGGAAGAAAAGTAGTCTTCTGTGGAATAGGAACAACGTAGAAATTCTGAGTGATCAGCAAGGTATTCCAAAAGCCTGGACGAAGGATTTTGGACATGCTCTTGATGATCCCCTCGTCACTCATGGGGTTTTGTTCAAGGTACGTCGCAAAAACTGGTTACATTATTAAAAATCAGAGATTCACGAGAGAATTTTATAAATTCTTAGAGTACAATCGTAGTATTCTTCCCGAAGCATTGTCGTCTTTGATTCTCTTCGAATCAAAGTAGTTCACAATGTTCATCGTCGTAGCGTTTTTTCAGTCCGGGAAGGAAGGGTCTATTTAACAGTTATACAGTATGGATCATGGAAAACAGCTCACCTAATTCTTTTCTAACAGCAAGTTTTATAACTATCGAAAGTAGTTATAATTAGAGAAGAAAATTAGACAGCCTGTTGGGCAAGATCCATTCTGTATTATCTCTTTAGTTGACGAACAATTAGGATAAGGCGTTTTAACGTTTTATAAAGAACGAGAGAAAGAGAGAGAGGAAACAGTTTGCGATGTGACTTGAATTGAGAGCAAAAACAACCCCTTGAAGGTGGTGAGAACGTAATAGAGGCGGTAGAGACGTATACCTAAGAAAACCTAGAAGCGGCCAAACTTAGTAACCTGTCATATCGAGTTTATCGCGGACTAAATAATACTAATCGATATAGAAAAAGAGACTCGAGAAGCGTAGTGGCTACGTTGCTACATATTATTTCACGATTATCGCGTATAATCTTTACCTTTATCCTCGACGTTTCCATTTTTTAGGAACAGCAAACCTCGTGACGTTTGTCGTTACTTTTTTATATATTATATAGAGATCACTCACATCAGTTTCATACTTTAACGTCGGTCGTTTTTAGCGGTATAATGAAACAGCGATCCAAGACCTATCTTTCAGTCTCTGCTTCACGGACAATACTTTTGAGGACGTAGTATTTAATTCGCAGCTATTCCCCTGTTCAAGAGAGAGAATGTTCATTAGCAAACCTATCACTCTGTTCCTCCAGTTCGTTCATCCTAGTCATTGTTCGTTCGTTAGAACATACAATCGTATCATCGAAAATTTTCTTTTTCGCTTTCATCCCTGTTCGATTGATTTCATCCCTTACATCACGTACGTGTGTAGACACGTAGAAAAGTGTTCGTTCGTCTCCGAAGGAGTTAACCCTTTGAACACTCATTAGATATATTTCATTTAAGATGAATTAACACTTTGACGATAATTTACCTTATTTTTATTTGTGCCAAGATCGTAAGAAATATAAATTACTGATATATGGTTTTATCGTTCGCAAAGGGTTAAATGAACACGAAAACAGCCTAAATTAAGGGTTCGACTAAAATCGAAAAACACTCGCGATGGGTGATTGTTCGACGGTGAGAATAGTTTTAAAACATATAGTACAATACGATAGATAGAGAAAGAGAGAGAGAGAGAGAGAAAGAAAGAGAAGTGCAGAGTTTCGAGCGCAATGGGTGCCTCGTAATCGACTTCGTGATTATCGTAGACGAGTAGCGTTTTATCGATTCATTTTTTGATCCTCTTCTCTCTGTCTCGAGACAACAGATGCTTCATTAAATTGATTACTTATTAAATTTTACCATTTGCCCTAACCGTGTGACGATTTCCTTGCATGACTGTAACTTGAATATTACGAGTATACGATTAACAGTTACGAGACTAACTACATGATTAGACCTCTTTGAAGCTGTTCAAGCTCCTTTTTCCAACCCCCTTCGGTTCGACGGGCGATGCTGGATAAAAATGATGCATTAATCTAGAATTAAAAAGATATTGTTTGATCGATATTTTCTATTATTAGACGAACCTCTGGTACCTTTATCTTCCAGGATATTCACTCGAAATACAGCTGATCTTCTTTAAAGGAAAAATAATAGCTCCAGTGTCGTTCATGAGCCAGCTCAAGCAGCCAAAAATCAAAAGCAATTTTTTACAGCGCGCGACAATGATTTATAAGATGGATATCAAAATAATGATACTGAACGAGCAGAAACACCGATTGACAGACGATTCTCGCGAAAAAAGCTACGATTTCTCGTTTTCCTTTCGGTCAAGTTTCCTCCTCTAAATTAATTTAATTTATGCAATTATGCGGTTACAAATTACTTATTGTTAGAGAGGTCCAAAAATTTTTATTTCTTTTTTTCCAGCTTCATTTGTCAAGCATTTTTTTGTTTTACCTAGGCTTGATTCTTTGTTACTCGCGAGCAAATGATCGGGAAAGTCTCCAGTTTTCCTCTGTTCGAACTAGCTCCTTGTAAATCGTTCTTTACATGGCGCAAAGAAAAGAGTAGACTGTTTAATTTCTCGCGGTGCGTTCGATGGAACGCGACGAAGCATACTCGACGATCTTTGTTGTATCTGAGAAAAAACATCGCGCACATATCAGTAGTAATTAATGCATTTTACTCGGCGTCTTTGCTTCAATTTCGTCGCGGAAGAAATCGGATACGATTTTACTCTATCCTTTGTGATCGGATGTTCGCGAAGTTCGAAAGACGAGATTGATTCCACGACGCCGTTAATTAGTGTGTAATTGTAGACTGTCAATTATTACCTGTTACACATCGATTTCATTCGTAACGACGTGTCACGAAGACGAGGCCATCATTGGCGATGATTCTTCGAGTTCTCGATCCTTTCACTTACATATACATCGTTGCAAAATAATTGGCCGTGTATAATTCACAACGAAAGGATTGAGAATTGACTCCATCGAACGCTTGGGAAGAAAAACAGGTTTTCCAACTTTTGAGCAAAGAGAAAAAGCTCGATCGTGCGTTCGTGTTTCGAATCGTTTCGTTTAGAGACTTTCTCGAATACAGATGATGAAAAATAAATGATGGAAGAAAAAAAAAAGAAAAGAATGCAAGCAATGTCGAGCGAGTAGCTGAGAGAAGAGATCATAATATAATATATAAAGAACGAGAGATAGTGAAAGAAAGAGCGAGTGTTTTCTGCCATCGTAAAGTCAATTTTATCGCGTACGTATGTATATGTATCGTTTCAAGTGTGTGTGTGTGCGGATCCAATGAAACGGACGCCGCGCCGTCATTGCAGCTAGATATTTTTGCTGAGAATCACGATTCTCTGGTATACGTGGCCTGAAATTCGAACATGAGCGAAAGAAACGAGCTGACAGCTACAATTCGCAGCAGAAAGTCTCGAATCAATGTTAAAAAAAAGAAATTTGTTTAAATATGAAGAAGATAGATTAAGTATTACGATAGGCAGTCTCGTTGGAAAAACCATTGACGTAACTAGGTTGGGGTCAGATTAGATCTAGCCCTTTCCGAATTCTAATTGGTTCCCTGTCTCATCAGAAATCATTAAAACAATTTAAAAACTAAATAAAGCACTCGTCTGCTCGCAAAATCTTAACACGATCGCTATCAGCAAAGACGTGACATCTTTTGATGATAATCGATGTCTATCGTACGAAGAACTTGATTCACTCTAGACAAAAATTCTAGCTACGCCAATGGGATAGATTATCTAGTGTACGAATGTTTGTCGTGCAACTTTGAAAGAAAGCAGACTATTTCTAAAGAGAGAAGAGAAGGAAGAAGCTGAAATACCAAAGAAACACACAAATCGTTGGCAATAATATTCAATGTTTAAAGAGGGAAATTGAATACGAAAGAAAGTAAGTGGAAGAGAAGGATCGTGCGGCGTCTGAGGACAACTTTATTGTACTTTATCGTGTAAGAGAGATTTGTAGAGAGTTTATATTAGGGCCAATTGTCACGGCGAGAGTTCTACGATAGCGATGTTTTTTTCCTCCCCTTGCAAAAGTTGTGATCAACTATTCAGTCTTTCTCAATATTAAACATTTTCCATCTTATACGAAATCTCTATTTGCTGGTATGAAATATGCAATGAAACTTTAAAAGAACTATTCGAAAAGTCATACAGGTGAAGAAAGAAAAATACAGCGACCAGAAACAGATCTCAAATAGTTGGTCACAGCTGAAGACCTTGTCGCGTTCCAGCGTAATACTCGCGTAACAGTTGCCGTGATTAATGAGTCACGTTTGCGTAATTAGCTGATAACGAATCAAGTTGATAAGATCTGTAAAACAGTTTGATTTTGTTCCAAAGTTAGAGTAATCACAATTAACCCTCGAATGGTTGAGCTGAGTTGACTGTCTATTAATTCAATGTAAGTTTTGCAATTTTCATTTACATATTTCTTAAATTTTTCTTTCGATATTATTTTTCCAATATACGAAAGATACTTCTTTGACGATTCGACCAAGCTCTCATTATTCGAGGGTTAATTTTGTTCGACAAGTAACTCAATCTTTTATTGAGTTTAGCACATTTTAGAGTCTTAATATAAATTGAAAGAATACCAGATTGCAGTCGAAGGATTGCATGTAGTAAGAAGCTTATTCCTCGTAAAAAAAATCAAAATTTACAAATTTATATTCTATATATTATTGATCGTACGTTTCATTGCGTGCACGATCGCAAATATTATTAGATTGTTAGACACAAACGATGCAACAGGACTCTGCTTCTTCATGGATCCTTCGATAGACATCAAACGCGAAAGCTCAAATTAAATAAAGAACGTCAGTAACCTGACGTTTGATAAGTAAAAAGCGTGTATAGTTTCTTCTTAATTTTTTTATTTCACACTTCTTCGAAAAAAGGGATTCTTAAAAAAAAGAGTGGTATGAGAGATGATAAAGGAAACATTTTGGAGTGGTTGATTTTGTCGAGTTTATTTTTATCAGTTTCCTTCAAAATCAAACACATGTATGTATGTACATACATATGAGAAGAGGAGAAAATTCTTCTACGAAAATTGTATTACGCGATGTGTTACGATCTGTACGAACAGGCAGTGAATATGAAGAAAAATCAAATAAAACGTTACAGTGAATGTTAGCTAAATCCTTCGATCTTGTTGTGTCACCTGTCCAGTTTTCGTTAAAATTATTATTTTTTTAACATAAATTTCTTTCTAATATCCTCGATGATTGTGTTGGCTCCTATGTGATAATTGCGCTTGTTTTACCAGTTCCCCTTTTACCGCACCTCACTGATATCTGAAAAGACCCACTTTTAACTCTCTCTGATTCTACTTTTTAAAATTTTTTTTATTTTTAGAAATCAGTTAAAAGCAGCACAAGACTGAACAATTATCATTATTGTAATTGACAAACTTGTATTCACTTCATGTACCTTGGTAAATAAATCATTTTAAAATATCAACTGAGTTATTACTTAACTTACCTAATTTTATTTCTGATTTATTTAATGTCCATAATTTTTTTTCTCGGTTATTTATACAGGGTGCTCCACGCAATTGTTTCAGATGCCTGAACCCCTTACATCTCTGCATCCCTTACATTCCTGCTTTCGTAGATCACAGCATTCCTTAAATCTATGCTTTCTTTATATGGCTGCATCCCTTACATGCCTGAATCCTTTACACCTTTGCATCCCTTACATTCTTGCTCTCTTTATATCCCTGCATTCCTTACATCCCTGCATTCTTTATATCGCTACATCCCATACATCCTTGCATCCCTTACATCTCCGCATCCCTTACATTCCTGTATTCTTTATATCACTGCATTCCTCACATCCCTCTTTTCTTTATATCCCGGCATCCCTCATATCTTTACATCCCTTACATCTCTGCATTCCTCACATCCCTCTTTTCTTTATATCCCTGCATCCCTTGCATTCCTGTATCCTTTATATCACTGCATTCCTCACATCCCTCTTTTCTTTATATCCCGACATCCCTTACATCTTTACATCCCTTACATCTCTGCCTTCCTCACATCCCGGCATCCCTTACATCTTTACATCCCTTACATTTTAGCATAATTTGGCATAAATTTCGCCCCCTCTAGCGGCAAAAATGTGAACTAAATTTTCGATGTCGAATCAGCGCCATCTGGTTTCAGAAAAAGGAACTAAACCTCGCATGAATTTTGGCCCTCTAGCGGCAAAAATGTGAACTAAATTTTCGATGTCGAATCAGCGCCATCTGGTTTCAGAAAAAGGAACTAAACGTTGCATGAATTTTGGCCCTCTAGCGGCAAAAATGTGAACTAAATTTTCGATGTCGAATCAGCGCCATCTGGTGTCAGAAAAAGGAACTAAACCTTGCAGCAATTTTGGCCCTCTAGCGGCAAAAATGTGAACTAAATTTTCGATGTTGAATCAGCGCCCTCTGGTGCCAGAAAAAGGAACTAAATTTTGCAAAAATTTTACTGTCTAGTGCAAGGATATAATGGATGCAGTGATGTAGGGGATGTAGGGATGTAAAGGATGTAGGGATGTAAAGGATGTAAAGGATGTGAAGGATGTAGGGATGTGAAGGATGTAGGGATGTAAAGGATGTAGGGATGTAAAGGATGTAGGGATGTAAAGGATGTAGGGATGTAAAGGGTGTAGGGATGTAAAGGATGTAGGGATGTAAAGGATGTAGGGATGTAAAGGATGTAAAGGATGTAGGGATGTAGGAGAATCAGTGTTTTTTTTTTTTTTTTTTTTAACGTGGGGAAATCTTGCATAAGACCCCCCACCAACCCCTGGGGGAGGGCGGCGGGGGAGTGTCAGATTCCTACTGACTAAAACCCCACGGCGACCAACTCTGCCGCTAAAGGAGGGCTCCGGGACTTTATATGTATTACTCCGGAGCCCCCCTCCTGGCACACAGATGCCCAGGTAGGGTGCCTATCATGTGGCCGACATCGGGGGTCGCACCCGGTGCCGGCATCTACTTACTTGGCCACGACGATTGAGAGAAGATTGACGATTGGATCAATCTCCCCTTGCTGCTCCTCTTGCAGCTGTGATGTGGCAAGGCTGAGCTCGCGACACCGACTGACAATGAGCAATGGGTTACAGTCTTTGATATCAAAGCATTCTGCTATTACCACCAACGTGTGTTAGCATAGAACAGATGGCGTTCATTCTCAAGGCAGAAATTCAAAACCACTTGAAAAGAAAGGCATGCCCAGTCTTGTTAGATTTGTATTCACTGGTTTTACTCTTCCTTTCAGTGATACTTAGCACGAACTTTTACAGACACCTGTGCAAGAAATATGTTAAGAATGAAGCTGGTCGCAATATATTTTGGTTACCTTCTAATTGGAATCGTTGGATCATCGATCAAGGAAGGTATAGCAAGCATCATTTATTGCCTCGTACACTCCTTACCTCGTAACGCTCGCTTAATGTTCTCCGTTGATAATGTAGTCCTCGTGTTTCCTCCGTTTCATCGACTTTCTTCCCATGTTGCACACTTTCATATCGAAGAGAACATTTTCTCGCCTGCTACAACTCAATAGCTTTAGCTTTCAGGGAACAGGGACATATACAGACTCACATACGATTTTCTGTCTCGAATTGATACCATCTTTGTATACCTATCGTCTTGAGAAGTGTACATACGTGTTACGTGTACGTCCATGAACATAGAACTACAATAGAGTGGCTCTACTCAGTGAGCAATACATATTCTAATTGTCCGCTATGTAGACACTAAACATTGGCGGCAACTTTCAACTGATGAACTGGAAGAGGCTCTATCCTATAAATGGAACACGAACAGAGCGAGAAACGTGATCCTATTCGTGGGTGATGGCATGAGTCCTGACACTATAACCGCCAGTAGAATATACCGTGACGGGGAGACCAGTCGATTAGCATGGGAGAATTTCCCTAATATAGGGATACTTAAGGTCTACAATTTACTATTTCCCGTCGTTACATTGATTGAATTTAGATATTAATTCGTATGCATTTTTAAACATCAGACGTACAATGTTAATAAGCAAGTACCTGACTCTGCATCCACGGCCACAGCATTGTTCAGTGGCGTGAAGACTAATTACGAAGTGGTTGGTCTTGATGGCAACGTACCATTGGGTGATTGTAATACGAGTTTGAATACCGACTATCACGTGGACTCGATCGTATCGTGGGCGCAAGCTGCTGGTAAAGACACAGGTAGCGATGGAAATTTTCGATCCGTGATGAGTTTAGATTACGTCGATTGGAAAAATTCTAGACTTAAAAAATTCTGCGTACGACTTGCAGGATTTGTGACGACCACCAGGGTCACTCATGCCACTCCTGCTCCTTTGTATGCGCACAGCGCGGACAGAAGATGGGAATGCGAATCGAAAATACCAAAGAGCGCGAAACATTGCAAAGACATCGCGAGACAACTGGTAGAGGATCTACCAGGAAAAAATATCAAGGCAAAATACTATCATCGTTAATCATAATCATCATTTTTAAAGTATTTCATCGTGTAATGTGCGTTTCTGTTGACATCCACTTAGAAAGTTCATGGAAAATCGTATTATTAAAAAAGAATACGGTTTAAAATAGCAGATACTTTTCTGGTTTAGGTGATCATGGGAGGTGGTAGGCAAATGTTGAAATCCAACGCTACAGCCACTGAATTCGATCCAATAGATACATGGGCTGGGAAAAGAGAGGATGGTCTTGACCTTATAGAAGCATGGAAACGCGACAAAATTAATCGAAAATTATCATTCGATGTCGTTCAGAATAACGAGGAACTGTCCAAAGTGGACACCGAGAAGGTGGACTACTTGTTAGGAATTTTTGCGAATGGTCACATTAGTATGGACTGGGACAGAGAGAAAGGTCCAAAAGGACAACCAAGTCTCGAGAATATGACCGTGACAGCATTAAAAATTTTACAAAAATCAAAACGTGGCTACTTCTTGATGGTACTACCGCTTCGTTGAACCGCTGAACGTAAAATGTCTTGCTTGATTTCAATTGTACGAAGTGCGTTTGTAGGTCGAAGGTGGGCTCATCGACTTTGCTCATCATCGTGGTCATGCTGCTCAGGCGTTATTGGAAACTGTTAGATTTTCTGATGCCATAAACGCTACCTTAAAAATGGTCAGCACTGACGATACGTTGGTGATCGTGACCAGTGATCACACGCATTCGATGAATTTCAACGGATACAGTGATCGAGGCTCGTCCATATTGGGTAAAGTCTCTAATCTGTTCGGCTTTAGATTAATTAAAGTATATAACAAATGGCGTTTACAGGCATCGCTCAAAAATCAAAGTACGACGGGATTCCGTATACCACGCTAACTTACAGCACCGGTGGACCAAATAATATAGCATACACGGTAAAAGAGAATACTACCGCGGTCAGAATCGACCCTACTAAAAACAACACAACAGACTTTACGTACAGTCAACAAGCTGCTATAATATCTGACGAAGCTTATCATGGCGGTGGTGACGTAGCTGTGTATGCGATAGGTAAATTGAATGATTCATAAAAATTTATAAACGTCATGTCATTGTTTTTTGAAATGTTCTTACTTTTAGGCCCGTACGCGCATTTGTTTCACAGCGTACACGAACAGAGCTACGTACCTCGAGTTATGGCGTATGCTGCAAACATGGAATCTTATGCGTACGGAAATAGCGCTGTGAAACACGACTATAATATTTTGGTTATAGTTTCTTTATACTGTAATCTGTTTTACTTAGGTGTACTTAGTTGTAGATAAAAATAGTTGGTCGACCTACACGGAATTTATTGTTACCGAAATTCTATTCCGATCAAATTGTATTTCTGAGGTTCTGTAAAATTATTATTATGTTTGAAATAAAATCGATACAACCATAACTTCTGTTATTTTATTTACCTTTGAAATTAAAAATAGATTAAAGACGGATAAGATAGTTTACTTACGAATACCTGGCATTAGTCACTAAAATTTGAAAGAAAAAAGAAAATAACACTTACGTTATGTAAGTAACGTATATTTAAAAAAAAAAAAGAAAAAAAAACATATCGAAGTTACACATGTTTCCTTATCATACTTAAGTAAGTGGGACAGCAAGTGACTGAAAAATTGCACTTGGATCCACTTCATCACAGATTAGCCTAACTCGTTCAGTGGACACACCAAGTCTTTTTAAAGAGCACTAATTAGAATAGGTAATATCCCTATATGATATAGAATAAACGTTTGTTTTTTTTCCTCGCACGTGTATACATAATGTATGTGTATATATATCTGTTTCTCTCTCTCTCTCGCTCTCTCGCTCTCTCTCTCTCTCTCTCTCCTCGCATTTTTATTTCTATCTTTTATTTCGTTTTTTTCTTTCTTTTTATATACAACAAAGTTAAAACGAGTCTCAGTCTTCTGCTGTAGAGGATAAGATAAAATCGCGGATCGCTGTCTAGGTAACTCTTTTAAATGTATCGCTTTTTGGCATTGACAGTCAGACAAATATCGTAATCATTCAAAATTATGTTAAAAACTGCGTGGCCGAATTGCTGCTGCTGCAAAGATAATGCCAATGCCAAGATGCGATACGCTGTCAATTTGTTACAACGTTGTACGTATCGATTATTAAATTAAAGGGTTAATAACGGAATCACGTTGACAGAAAAATAAGAGGAAGAAAATTATAGAGGAAGGATTACAATCATACTGTCCTCCAAACGTTGCCACAACGATCGTGCACGCGATTACTTTACGTCCATTTATATCCGACTAAAGTACAAAAAGAACTATCATGTGAAATTGGCGGCGCGTAAGCGGGTCGAATCCCGACCTGCTGTATAAACTACGAAGCTATCAATAAAAAAAAAAAAAAAAAAAAAAAAAAGGATGGTAAGAACGTGTACGAACATGAACAAGCGACTTAGGTAGCAGCCACACGAGTTTTTAAAATGACGTCCATTGCGATGGGTACCTTATTCTTTATGTGCGAGGATAGAAAGTACTAGATTAAGCTCTCCCTGGGTTCTCCTAAAATTGAACACAAGTGGTGAGAAGTTCCTACCTTTTTTGGAGGTGCCTACATTGCACCAGAATGTACTGTGCTAAGGTACGATAATCTTCCTTAGCGAAAAAGCGATATACTTATCTCTCGAGGGTTGCAATATCATTTTCTTCCATTGACTTATTCCCTAGGGCGGAGTAGTGTACTCGACAGTGTTAAAGTCGCGTGAAATCTAGGCTTCCATCGATTAAGAGAAAGCGTAAAGAATCTAACCATTACCCTTAGAAGGTTCTGCGTTAAGTTTTCCTGAAATTTTCTCGAAATCGAAAACAAAGAATGGAAGGTTGCTCCCTTTATCCTTACCCTTAGCTTTGATCGTCATTTGAAACACTCGTGTGGCTAGTTTCGCCAGCCCTTGGTAAGCTCTGTCTGGTGTTATCGTTTAAGTATGTAACAGGAGAAACTGTAATGGGAGGGCCAAGAACTCTTCTGAAATACTCTTAGGTCTATTATCTATCCGATGAACAGCCTTGATGGCCGCGAGGGAATAAAGGGATCATTGTACTTTGTTCTTCTTCTTTTTCGGCTTGACGGTGTGCATCACGCTCTCGTGAAAGAGGATCTTAAGCGAGATACAACCGAGGAACAACAAGGCTGATATGAGGAAAATGAAGCCAGGCGTGTACTTGCCGAATACCATCAGGCTGAATAGGCCGACCATTTGAAAAGCGAGAAATAGCACGGCCAGATAAACGGCCAAACTGAGAAACAACGGGCTTTGTCGTTTGCGTTTCTGTCGGGTGATCGTTTGAAATTCGCTGGTTAATTTACCGGTGTCGATAGGCGACTTGATCGGTTCTTCTTCTTCGCTTTTCTGATCGTCCGAACGAATGCCACGTAACAGCGAGCGTCGAAAGCTTTTGTACAAGAAAAAGATCCTCGCTGTGATCACTTCGAGGAACTGTCCTAGACAGAGGTGCACCTTACGTGCTACTGGATGCGATTTTGAATTGTCGAACGAGTAGAGTAGATACGGGAAGAGATTCAGATTCTGGCAGCAATGACGAATCTTCTGCATGGACGCGTGTCGGAACAACATTGGTGGTCCGCTATAATTTCCATCTGTTGGGCAAAAAGAATAGAAGGGGTCTTATTGGTTAGTCTTGCATCATTATTTCTGTCGAGGTTTACAAAGAGGAATAAAATTAAGGTGTTCCTCACCTTTCAGCATGTTGGAAACACGTCGCACGAGGGTCGGTTTACCAACTACGTCCTCCGTCTCCATTATTCCCGCTAATTTCGACATATTCCGTCTGTTATTGGTGCGTTGATACGAAAGAAAAAGGCTCTGATGAGCGTTTAATACTATTCCTCAGGTCCGTGGACTTCTCGGTCGCACTTGGCTATCGCTGTTTTATTCTGAAACAGAACCAATTAAATTATGTAGTATACGATGTAGATGTCGAACAAACGATAAGCGAAATTTTTGACCTCTACCTCTTTTCTTTTTTCTTTTATTTTTACATCAGTTCTTGACGTTCGTTTCGAGGATCACGGATGTACGTACACGTACATCAATCAGTACTGAACAGACCTTCGACTTTCGCGTTGCCAAAGCTGAGTTGTATAAAAAAAAAAAAAAAAAAAAAAAACGGCACGCTTTGATAGCCTTGACGACCCGAGATTAACTCTTCAACAGCTTTTGCAGACAATCTTAAGCAATATTTTAACGAATCGAATGTTTGTTTAAAAACGTTTGTCTGATCGTACCTTCGACCGATCGAACCACTTTCGGCGTCGGAATTGTCGAAGAAAGAAACGCACGGGTACAAAGAATACTGTGGTTACGGGTATCGGAGCGACGCACTATTTCGCAACGATGCAACGCGACGCGGTTTCGCGATACGCTCGCAGAACAGTTGAGCTGATCGTAATATACTCTGTGCCGACTGCTCCCCCTCGCCCCCCATGATTGCGGCAAATTATTATCATAAATAGAAGAGCCGGCGATGCAACTTGGGGGACCCATATCCATCGAGTAGCGAAACAGGATGATGGAACAGGACATTTTAAGAATCTCGAGGAATCGCGAGTTGCATAACTTTTACTGGAAAATTTATAGGCAGCAGAACCTTGAAATCTTGATCCGAAGTTGAAACAGATTAATATGCAAATGATCCCATGATCCTCGAGGAACGACGAATACACAATTGAGCAACGAGTTAAGATTTTGACCTGAAATTTAATCGGACGAAACAAACGTCAAGTTGCAATTCTTGCATCTTGTCGGAAGATTGATAATTTCGACATAGACTTCGCTGTACAGTGAAATCGTCGCCGTGAACTTATGCTAACGAAGAGTCTGACGAATGCCAAGGAATTCAGTTGGTAGATAATTTCAACTAAAATTCGTTCACGATCTAACGAAGCTTCTGGACGTTCAACGAGAGTTGATCGTTTCATAAACGACCAATTGGTAGGACAAGGTAAACAAAGAGGGTTACAAAAGACCCTAGCGAAGCGGTACTCGTCGCGCTCGCGCGTTCCCACTTGATCGGACGAACGGAAGCAGGTCGTGATCGATCCTAAAGCAGATTAACCAAGCGTCTACCTATCTGCTCGTTATCGTACCGATAGGAACTAGAAACTTCTATGTAACCGTGCCGTTGACTCACCTTGGCTGGTGTATATTTATATGAACGTCAGGCACGGTCGAACGGCAGTCGGTACCCATATAAAACGGCTCGGATATTCTGTCGTTTTGGAGCGGGTCTCGCGCGTGCGTCCACAAAGCCTAACGATATTTTTCGTATTGATTGAAAAACGATCGGAAACTCACGGAATGTGTCCATCCTTTGGTGGCACGTTGACAGTCTCCATGAAATCGATCAAGTTCACCCGTTTACGAAAGGCTCGAGGTCCGTTTGCAGGGCTGTCGCAAACTGACTAAGCGCCCAATGGGCTTCTCTGCTGCTTCTTTCCCACCGGCTTCGACAGAACACAAACAACGACTGTGTGCTCGTACCGCGGAACGGTGCTCGACGTTAAACTCGGCATTCAGTGGCGACCTCGTGCTTCTATTGGGAACCTCGGCATCGGTGGAACATCACTGGATTGGTCGCCTAAATGGGCTTCAAGGGTGCACCAACCAATTGGCGGGCGTCGTCGAAACGAACACGAAAGGGCCGAATAACGAAAACGCGAGAACAGTCACGTACAACACTAGCCTACCTCGTGGAGTTTCGAAACTGGAGCCCTTTGCTCAGCTTCACTCGGCGTTCTCGGAGATTCAAACACTTTTTTCCTATCGTTTGACTCCTTCAGATACTCGAGTGGACTGTTCATCGATACGTATCGATCTAAAAAAGAAAGGTTTCATATCAGTCTAATCGCAATTCTGGAAGTAGAGGAAATGATGGTAGATTTAGATGATTCATTTATGAATGGCGTCTTCTAATGAAGTAGGCTATACCAAAAAGGGTAATAAAGATAGCAGGTAACGAGTAGGGTCCGATAAGGTAAACGCACCTTTTAAAAAATGTGGACCAGTCACGATTTTCTACCCTTCTTCCAATTTAAATACGAAGAATGGGCGGGAAGACGCATAGTATTGATCGTAGAAAAATGTCAAGTTACTAGTCTCGTGCTGGCAGTTTCGTAACATTGAAAAGACGAAAGGTTTTCAATGACCCTAGCACGTGATAGTGACGTAAAGTTGGGTCGGATAAGGGACTTGGCGCGTGTTCTCGTGGGTGAAAGCCGGATTGCGTTGCGCCTCCTAGAATCCCAATTATAATACATAATGTATCACATTGAGTATGGTCTTTGATCGTGTCCAAAGTCCATGAGGAATGTGTTTATGAAAATATTGAAATTTCTCTGTCTCTAACATGACGATTAAAAGTGTACACGTTGTTTGCTTCTAAGCGTCTTGTTATTAATGCTTATCTCGAAAATTATTTAAAAGAATTGCAAAAAGTAATGTTTACATTTCAGATTGTCTAGACTTTGAATTATTTTTCCTACGAATTCACACGTATTATGAAACTAGAAGAACTTGAATTTAAATTTTGCCATTTGGGATCCGTCGCTGAGAAATTATCATTAACGAACGATCGCGATTCGCAGTCTAAATCGTTTTTCTGTGCGCGACTAGAGCGGTCAGGTATCGGCGCCGTTGACAATGTGGATCTTATGCAACGATTCATTGATCTCTCACGTAATTCGAATAGGCGAAGCTCTCGCGAGGTGAAGAGAAAGAAAAAAATATATAAACCGCACTCCACCGATGAGAATCAATGAGAATTTTCACGCGGTACTCGCGTGATCGCGAACGCCGAAACGTTTAAAAACTCCTGTGAACCGAGTAATTTTCTAATTTCCTATCGAGCAATCGCTGTGGACGTTGGTCCAGACGATGATTAGAGGTTCCGGGCGACACTTGGATTCCCCTTCTCTTATCAATGCTTTTCCCCCGCGTATTCGCGCTATCGATACTCGCGTAGGAGCAACGATGAATTTTCGCAAAGCCGGAAGAGAGGAGGTTTTTCCAAACGTGCGATTAAAATTTTATTTCAAATTTTGCTCGCTGAAAGAAGAAGAATTCCATTGGAAATTTACTCGACGCTTTTACGCGTTAGCGTTGTTAATAAACAGTCTAATAACGAAATTAGCAAGCCAGGCTCGTTTCGCGGTCTCAGCGCGACGAATTCGAGGAGAAAAAATGTGCCCACGTCGATCGTAACGCGAGAAACGATGTCTCTAATCAATTTTTCATACCGTATCGTCTTTCTTTCGATCTTGAAAATACAGGGTCGACAGATTCGAGCGAAACGGTTTCGAAAATAGCAACGATCGGAGGTTTGCTAGCCTCTGTTTCGTAATCGAATCATGTCAAGGAGTTTGGACGAGTGTCGACGTCCGAACTTCTGTACAAAGATCATCGATTAAAAACACTTTGGTAGATTCGGGTCGTTTGGCTCTAGACAAAATACACCATTAATGAAGGGCCATTAATCCAGACCAAACACGATGACCAACGCGATAACGAGTCGATACGTTTTAACGTAGCTTTTCTATCCTGGTTAACATCTGCGATGACAGATTACGTGTATGCATATCGGAAGCGATCGCGTCGCTTGCTTATTAGTCATCGACTGGTTAGAAATTTGCTAGACATTTCACTTTCGTTGTTCGTTTTGGTGATTTGTCAGAAATTTTGTTAGGCAAGAATCATTTGAATAGCAACAAGAACTAGGCTGAAAGTTGAAGAAACTAGAAACTAGAACTGCTTGATGACCCATATGTTAGCCCTTTTCACGTGTTTAAAAATAACGAAGATAAATGATCCAAGTATGCTTTAGAACGAACGCTGGAGATAGGTATTGGAATATTTTCCTTAATTTCAAGTCAACATTTACAATTATCTGCTGAATATTTCAGAGGGTTATATTGTTTTACACGAAAGGTTTCGAGAATCTTGATAAAGAAAGGTTTAAAGGCTTCCGAAATCGGCTTACGATATTTCAACGAAATTAATACACGTTTTAATAATAAGTATATATCTCTGTCGTCATACTTAATTCGATCGAGGTGATACGTAAATTTGCGACAGATAGGGACTCTGCACTTATGTTATTGCTGTGTATTATGATAATATTGGATTTTTCTTGATGGATCATCCACAATTACCCCCGGTTACGTAACAACTTGATAGTTAAATTAATGTGGCTTAATCGGGACTCTTATCGAGAAGCAAATTCAATTCTCTGCGTTAAAATAAATTCTTCATCGTAAATTCATACTCGAGTTTTTTAACGTGTAATGCTTTGTTTACCGAGCGATACAGCCTTAACACATGGAACAAAACTCGACTTACGGAAAATTTCTGCAATTACTTTAATACTTTCTTCTTAACACCACATTTCTCGCCGTTATACGTTGACATTATTACAGATTATTTCAAGTAAGTATTTGAAATGCAAAGAAGATATAAGATATTTGAAAATTTATCATATTGCATTAAAAGATAATACCAACAGTTGTTATACTTTTTAATATTGTACGCCTCTTTACTATCACTGTATTTAACTGCTATTATATCATAATGTTGAAAAATAAAAGACAGATACACCTAATACGTTTTATGAATGACAACTAATCTTCGAAAGCAATGAATCATGCGATTATGCGAAACTATTGTATTTCTTCACCGATAGAAAATAATCTCGCTTTCCTGTTTTATAAATATTTCTTTTCGTGCGTAGATAATTGCCTGGCTTAACGATCGATCAACCATGTAACATTCAATTAATCGACCCTACCGTTTCAGCGTTAGCTACATAATTACATCGGATAAAAACAAACGAGTTATTTTATCCGATTCTATCGGAATATTTAAGTCAGCATCACAGTTTCAAACACGTAGAAATACGATTTTGTCCACGGCCATTGATAAGCTACTGATAACCACGTTTATTTATGTTCGCCTCGCGATGATACTCCATAATTCTAATAATTTTTCGCGAATGTTGCTCAACTTTACTTTCCTCTTTATCTTCCCCGGTTTGATAATGTTTTTTTTTTGGCACGCGATTTGGTAAAACGACACGTGCTCGTTGAATCAACGAGCCAGGTGAACATATTCGCGAGCAAACAAGATAAATTTATGGTAGCTTTTCAAGGAAAGAGAAAAGGAACGGATGAAACCGAAAGAGTAACGAACGAAAGTTCGCGAAATTTCGATGAATTGTAAAATGAAAGGGGATTTAATTTGCAAACAGCTCGCGAAACGGATAAAATGTGCTCTTTGTATGTGCAGATAACGATAGCTTTCCTTTTGAATAAAATAATTGATTGATTGTTGCGTCACGTTTTGGGCACGTGTCACGGAATGCCCAACGGGTTGATCGGTCTTTATCGTATGGTTAATTAATTTGCTTTGTTCGTGTAGCTATTATCTTTGTAATTGCAGAGCCGTCGCCGAGTTAACGAAAGCGCAACAAGAATAAAAATGTACAATAAAATCGCGTTATTAGAAACGACTCTGAGCTATTGAGAAATTTTATCAGCGTTACCAACACCTGTCAAGGATCAAAGCAATTATAAAACAAATGTTCTTAGCTGATTCTAAGGTAGCAAGTATCAAGTAATCCACCGCTCAGACAATCTACTCACGGTGGTCGCAGCCGTTGCTTTCCCCTTGCGTTTCGAAGCCGCAGAAACTCGTCTATTCTCGTCTGTGCACAGGATTTCCTCGGTTCTCGTCTGCTTTTTCCTCCCTATATGTGTCGACGGGTCGACGAACGGCACATGGATACGGCCCTGCAACAGTACGCAGAATATTTTTTAGTATCTGCTCGGTTTTGCTACGCGTTTCTCGCGGTCGCGAATCCGCTTCGCAACGCTCCACCGCTTCAAACAAGATGGAGAAATAGCAGAAGAAGCGATAGGTGACACGATGCACCTGCATGTGGATTCTGAGAACTTGCTGTTGTCTTTATAATTTGCGAGGGATATCTTTAGACATGGAAGAATGTCCACTTTAATTTCTACACTTATTTCGCAGTTTACATAGTTTACTTATATAATTATTTAAAAAGACATTAAAATTGTAAAGCTACTTAATAAATTAAACTTCTAATTTAAAACTGTTTTAATTTATTTGCAAAATTAATTTAAAATTCGATCGTACCGCCATCTATACAAAAGTGGCTCAAACTACTCGCCAAGTTATCATTAAAGAGGGTAACACCCACGCTTATCGACTGCCGAAGGGTTGATCGATAAGTCGGTAAATAATTCGCGGCTTAAGAAAGTCGATCGATAACTTGGCCAATAGTTCAAGTCACTTCTGTATAGATGGCGGTACGGTCGAATTTTAAATTAATTTTTAGATGTAATTGTAATTTGCAATCTTAATTATATAAAGCGCAAAGACGTCCGTCCGTGTCACTTTTCAACTTGAGAAGTACTAGGATTATACGCTTTATTAATTTTTCTATGCAAAGTTAATGGGTCGTACATTTTAGCTACGGGGTCCCTAATATACTAAGATCATATTTTGTCAGCGCGCGGAAAGAGTCGCCGGGGTTCCTGAAACTCCAAGAGATATTCTGACGGCGCGTAGAAAGAGTCGCCGGGGTCCCTGAAACCCCAAGAGATATTTTGTTGGCGCATAGAAAGTGTTGCCGGGGTTCCTGAAACCCCAAGAGATATTTTATTGGTGCGCGGAAAGAGTCGCCGGGGTTCCTGAAACCCCAAGAGATATTCTGACGGCGCGTAGAAAGAGTCGCAGGGGTCCCTGAAACCCCAAGAGATATTTTGTCGGTGCGTGGGAAGAGTCACTGGGGTTCCTGAAACCCCAAGAGATATTTTATCGATGCGTAGAAAGAGTCGCCGGGGTTCCTGAAACCACAAGTGATATTTTGTCGGTGCGTAAGAAGAGTCACTGGGGTTCCTGAAACCCCAAGTGATATTTTGTCGGTGCGTAGGAAGAGTCACTGGGGTTCCTGACACCCCAAGATGATATTTTGGCGGTGCGTAGAAAGAGTCGCCGGGGTTCCTGAAACCCCAAGTGATATTTTGTCGGTGCGTAAGAAGAGTCACTGGGGTTCCTGAAACCCCAAGTGATATTTTGTCGGTGCGTAGGAAGAGTCACTGGGGTTCCTGACACCCCAAGATGATATTTTGGCGGTGCGTAGAAAGAATCGCCGGGGTCCCTGACACCCCGGATACCATAATGTCGGTATGCAGTTACCGGTGCTTCGGGGTCCTCAATACCCCAACATGTTATCAGGTCCGTATCCAGAGGGCGTTGTTGGTGCAGCGGGGTCCCTAACACCCCGATCAAATTATAATTAACCCTGATTAAATTATAATTAACGTTTTAATTTGCAAACTAGTTAAATCATAATTAACGTTTATATATCATCAATAATGAAACAAATGAACGCTATCAATGGATAGAAATAAATTTCTTGCACCTACGTATATAAAAACGATAAATTAATTAATCCTTCAGTCTAGGAAGTACTACTTCTAATTTTTTTTATACAGAGAGGAAAAGAATTACTTACCGAACGATAGAATGACCGAAATAAAATTATTGTCATTCATTAGACGCATGTTTAGTAAATTAAAACGATAAACACGTTGATAAAAAACAAATACTGTAATAGTAAAAAACAGTACAAGATAAAACGAGAAGATAACGTTGCTCATTTCATTATCAGCACTGTAAACTCCGACCCTGTGATATTAATCAACTAAATTTATGACATATTTATAACGAGAGTATAATTTAATTCGTGCAGTAAGTAATTGATTAACATAATAAAATTATCGTTCTGTTCTGTGTACATAGGTGAAAGATTTAGCAACAGTTTGCTATTAAATATCGTTATGCTGTATCATTAAATAATAATCAATTGATACAACATCTGTTATGTAATAATATTACGGGACTGTATAATAAACAAAAAGAAACTTCGCGTTGCTATAAATACTTTTAATCTTTACTTGTTCGAAAGCAAAATCACAGCTACATAAGATGTGTGGTTCCGATACTCATTCGTAATAATAATATAATAATTAATAATAATAATAATAGAGAATATTAATTAATAATTAATAATAATAGATAAAATTATATAATAGCTTTTTTCGTATCATCTTACATCCATACAGCAGGTATTGTAATACTAATGACCGTACGATAGATTTCTCTCTAATCTTCATCAAATAATAGTACGTTGTTTTCTACTGGTATACATCTCTCTCTTTCATACACGCATGCAGACTTTATCTCACATAAACACACATACACATCTCTCCGATATTAATATATTTGCCTCGATCATCCTAGACGATCTTACAATAATATATTTCCATTTATATATATATATATATTTATATAATATAGGCTCGATAGTTTATAAGGCAACCTCAGTTCATCGTCGCTGTTCCATACTCTCTCCTATCTCTCTCTCTCTCTTTCTCTATTTTGTAATTACCAATGAAGGTTGTTTCACTCGTTAACCCTTTACGAATTTTTAATTTTTTCAGCCAGATTATCTGTTTAATAAGTAATCGAGAAGCGAACTAATTTCAAATCACTCCGTTCGCAAAGGGTTAAACACGATCGATCCTCTCGTGATCTCCTTCCGGTTCCGATTCAATCTCATCTCGACTCAATCGTACTGGTATCTCAAGTATCCGATGCAATAAATCAATAAATATTCTACAACTTGCTTCTCAACATAAAAACAACCGAATCGATCCAAATGACAGACTACAGATTTGTTAATCTGCAATAGAAAAGTGATTAAGTTGCATGTTCCATGCTTCGTTTATTTCAAAGTAACACAAAAAGAATAGAAACGATGCTGACTCGAGGGAGAGAGAGAGAGAGAGAGAGAGAGAGAGAGAAAGAGAGAGAGATTTGAAATCGCAGTTTATGGCACTCGTTTTAACACATGGCTCGAACTCCCGATCAGCTGAACTTCTTTTTTTTTTTTTTTCAAAGATCGAGCTTAGAGATGGAGATGGACACCGGACACCGGGATCGAAGGATCAATGACGACGACGGGCTTTCTCTGTTACAAGGATTCGTTGATCGATTGATCGATTGCGAGAGGACGGGGACTGATGACTATAATCGAGTTCGTTCGACGCTTGTAACCTCGCGCGCTACTGGAATGATACGCTAACAAGGGGCTAATTATGAGAGGGATCGATTTCGACTCAATCAACTGGTAGAAATTTTATAAAACTACGAAGAGACTACATTATCTTAGAAACCACGAATGTAATAAGACAACAGAATGTTTCCACGTCTTTTATGGTGTTTTTAAATATAATATACTTCCAGAGAGGATGTTTGCTAGTTTCATTCAACTACCTATGGGCTCCGTTAAGGCACTAACATCCTAAGATCGCTTTTACGTCGGTATTTTTTATCGTTCGTTGCTAGTTTTCATTATCGCTGCTAAGGCACGGTCCTACAAGTTCGGGGAGAAACTCTAAAGGCACCCTAGCGTGTCACCCAACACACCCACGCACACATCTAATGCTCTAATAGCTACATGGTTAATTGTAATCTTCTTGTCTTTTCTGTTTTTTTTTTTTTCGGTAGATCATGCTATTCGTCGATGCCAAAGACGTTACGATTAAGAAAATTATTGCCAATTTATTTACCGTGAAACCTTCACTGAAAACGATGCATGTTAAGTAGTTAAAATTATCGAAGAATCGAAGGCAATCGAACAGTCCCTAATCGCACAGAAATAAAATGATAGAAAATCGTATCGTCGTCGACCCTATCTCGTTCGTGACGCATGCGTTCATTCGTTACCGTGTCTCGTGTGTACATTTTTCATTTCACAAAACGTCCATCTTCTGTCCAGCAAGCAACGGTTGCCCGAAAGCGAAATGTCTGTTCGCTCTGTCTCCTCTCGGATGGCAGTCTTTTTTGTTAACTCTCGGTTTTTATTTTATCAATACTGTTCTGTAAATACGATTAACGAAGAAACCGCGTACCCTCCTTGAAAGCGTATAATCTTTAGTACGATTCGTTACGATACGTCTGATCGATGAGAGAGAGAGGGAACTCATGAATAATAAAAAGAAAAAGAAGAAAAAAAAAATAGAAAACAAAAGATTATGGATGATCGTAGAAAAAAAATCATTGCATCGTCGATGAATGGATCGTTGATCGTGAACCGGTTGAAGGTTCATCAGGAATCGATCCGATATCAATTTGTCGTGGCAACGACAGACTATATCCTAGTTTATCTTGTTAAATCATCGATGATGCAATGGACTAGACACGCTGTCACACGTAAGCACGATTATCTTTTTCATTTTGACTTGCCTTTGCTTGCTGGCGATGACTCTTTCTCATCTAGGACTCGTTTACAGCAAAAAGTTTCATTGTCCTCTCGATTAAATCATTTTTTTCACGAACCGGAGCGATTCCGTTCGATCTTGTTCTCTCTCGTGTCAGTTCTTTTTCTCCTCTGTACATAATATATTAACTATCTAGTTTAGGATCTAAGTCGTCGCGACGACTACTTTTGCACCACGCGGAGGGTACACGAACGATACTAGAAAAAAAAAAAGAAGAAAATAAAGAGAAGACAAATAGAAAAAAGAAGGGATAAAGGAAAAGAGGGAAAGGAAATGTACAAGGTCTTTTTCTTCTATTAAATATTATAGTTTGTCTTTTATCTTCGCGCTAAAGCTATACGATAGACTTGTCGTCCGTCTTATTGTCTACGGTTCTACGCCAAGTTCATCCTTCGTCTTCTTCTCGTTCTCGTCGAATAATCAATTAAACGATTCGAGAATGATCGCGCTATTCCTTCAGGTTTTCGATCTTCCGAGATCAATCGTCGATCAATTATAATAAATATTTCTCTCTCTCTCTCTCTCTCTCTTTCTCTCTTTTTTTCTCTCGTAAGTACGAAGTCATCGATGCATCGATCGATATGGTTGTTGTTTCGGCCCATACGAGAACGCCGAGCAAGCTATCGATTCCTTCTGGTCGAGAACACGGCTGAAGATTAATGACTAGGCCTCGATTGGGCTGCTCCTAATCATCCAGCTGGTCGTGGAAACGTTCGCATCGCGAGTCCATCGACAATCGCCTAGCAATTCCGTCAGGGAATGTCTATACAGAGGGAGCATCAATGAAATTGTCTTTTATATTCGTCAGTCCTTGATCAGATTACATCTGTGCGATCCAAAATTCATCGATATCGGATCCAGCAGCCGGCCGTTTCCTCTTCTTTGGCTCATATTATTTGTCTAGAGCCATCGAGGGCGGCTGAAGAAGTCTTCAGGGAATGTCTACACGGGGACCAGAGTCAATTGTATCTTTCTCGAATACCCTTCAACTTATCTGTACGTCGTTATGTGTCCATGTGTCGATACTTGTGGGCGGACATTTGTGCCAAACCGAGCACAGCGTACTGACATTGCAGACAATGATAATGCGTCTGTTTACCGGAATGCTGGCACTGAACGCCACCGCAAGGTTGACTGGGGGTGAATTTTTGAAAGCCTGCCGCAGCGATGCTGTCCAATTTCGCGTGTTGCCGCCTGTGAGCGACCACCTTGTTCGTATCTGTACAGACAAAGTCGCACTTTAAACAATGAAAGTGCGACGCTTTGTTCTGCATCGAGCCTAACGAGGACGTGTACGCGCACTGAGCCCGACCGCAAGGGACGTTAGCCCTGTATTGTTGAAAATCACCACCCATCAGGGTGTCTAGCCGCTCGTGTCTGGCCGTGTGCTGGACGAAACGCGTCTTGTCGCAGAACGAGTAGCCGCAGTCTTGTCGCATGCAATGGAAATGGGTCTGGTGTTCCCTGTAACCACAGTGGGGATACCTGCAGTCCTCGTTGAATCGGAACCTGAAACATTAACGAAGACAACGTTGCGCTAACGATAAGTGAGATTTTCAAGCTGGAGATAGAAATGGTAATAGGATGCAAACCTAACGTATCCCTCGGGTACAGGTTCGTCCTTCAGCATCCGCATCGAGTGATGAAGCCTCTGTTTCTTCGCCTCGGGTGAGTTACTGTCCGGCGGAGACAAGGATCTCTTGTTCAAGTTCAGGTTCGCGGCCAGAGAAGCCAAAGGATTCTCGTCTCTGGCAGGAGGTAGAAAGTTGGTCGGAGGTAGACCGGGCGCGAACATCAGCCCTGGTCCACCTGTGTACATGCCGCCATGCTGGAGGAAGGGTGGCAGGGCTTGATTCATTAAAGCGATCTGCTGATTCATAGCGGCCATTACGGCTGGGCTAGGAAAATGAAATCCGTGGCTAAGGTCCAGCTCGAAGCTGGTAGGGACAGGGGATTGCTGAACGTTCGCCGCTATACCCGGTTGAGACAATTGACCGTTTTCGTTGCTGTCCATCACCGAATTGTTACCCCCCTCGTCCCTGATCAGTTCGCTAGGCTCCCTTTTCACGTTCGGTACATTTTGCACGCCAACGTCCGAGCCGCACCTCGCAGGTTCCATTTTCACCTCCTTCGCTTGGGTCTGTTGGCTCATTTGACCGAGAGTTTGCTGCATCTGACGTTGCATCTGATTTTGAAAGTTCTGAATGTTCTGTGCCATTTGTGCGTTCTGCGCCATGAAGTCGTGCTTCTGCGACAACTGTGCCAGATAATCGTGCTGCAGCTGATTAGGTGGCTGACTAGCCAGCTCGTGTTGCTGTTGACTAAGAATGGCACCTGTCGAGTGTTTGGCTATGTGAGCCACCAGTCGGTCCAACTCGGAGAACGCTTGATTGCACGCGTTACAGTGATAATGATTCTTGCGTTTCAGTTTACAGAACGGTCTGCTACAGCTTTGCTCCGGTCCGTACAAGGTGTGCGGCGAGGCCGAACTTGTGGATGGAAGAACCGGAGATTCTGCAATGGAAATCGTTCGTCTTAAGTCGATGGGCGCGAACGGGTTAACGGGAGCACGCGAATCGTGACGAGTTTTACCGAGATAACTAAAGAGAACACATTTCAAGGCAAGAAAATTTGCTCGTCGAAAGAGACACGAACCTTGGTGCACGGAAGTTCGCATGGATAGCACGACGCCCGGAAGTGCGGGTTCACTTGGCGGTCCGCTGACCGGATAATAGGTGCCTGCCGCCCTCACCACTAGCAACAATCAACCAAACAACCAACACTTCAAATATACCCACTATGATTACAACCACCTTGTACAATAGATACATCAAACGCAAAGAACAAACCGTAACAATAAAAAAAATAAATAAATAAATAAAAGAAAATAGAAAATAAGAATATTGGCTTGTTCGATCCTTTCGACGCGTACCGTGATCGAAACGTCGAAAGGATCAAGGATCAATGCCGATGCAATGTATAATACAATCGTGGTGCGTGTACGTGCAAAATAAAACACATGCATCAACTGAGTGACACGTTTGTGTGTAACATCTCGAGTAACTACGAAAGAAAACCTATGGAAACAATACTGTATGTACAGAGGTGCACTGGTTCGTGTCCACGGAAGATTCGAGCTTACCGGTAGTCTTGTTGCCATCCGGACTGGGTATCTCTGCTTCTTTCTCCTCCATCATCGATCTATTCTCCATGTCGGCGGCGGGGCCGGTAACGGTCAAGTTGTTGCTGTCTTCGGGTTTCTCGATAAGTTCAGCAGGATTCTTCACCTGAATCCTCGGCTTCGTTTCCTGTATAATCGCCGGTTGGACTTGCGTGTGAGACTCGTGGTTAGAGAAGGATTCCTGGCCCCCAACGGCATCGGTGTGACCAGCGTGCTGTTTCTCGTGCATCGCCATGGTCGAGTATCTGACGAACGAGTAGCCGCAGTTTGGTCTGGTACAGTGGAAATGCCGATTAACGCGATTACTGTGACAACCGGCCAGTCGACAATCTACCATCTTATCGAAGAAGGCAAAGCCCGGCGGTATGTCGACGTTATCGTGAAAGTCTTTGCTGTGCATCAGCAATTGATCGGGTCTATCGGTAGAGAAGTGACACCTTGGCTGCGAACAATGATGATGCCTGCTGGATCGTAGAACGCAAGCCGGATCCGGGCATCCATCAGGATTATAGGTCGAGAAGCCGTCAGCTTCGCCGAGGCTGTTGGACGGCGAGACGCTTCCCTCTCGATCCTCCGTCATCGGATTCACCGTCAAATTCGGCGTCTGAGGTTTTGGTAGTTTGAAGCTGGTAAAGATGGCCTGCGGGGAATCGTGTGTATGCGTGGCTGGATCACCACCGGACCAGATCTCTATCACCCGATTTTTCGGTGGTCTGCCTCTCTTCCGCCTGAACATGGCATCGATGTTCGTCAGGTGGGTCAACGTAACGTCGGAGGACAAGGCGTGGGAGGAGCACGAGAGGTTCAATTGTCTGCTGTACTCGTGAATTTTGTAATGTTGAAGACGACGAAAGGGTTTGTCGGTGGAGAGAATTACCTCGCGACAGTTTTCCCAATTGCAATGATAATGTTTCTCTTTGTCGGCGTACGGACAATTATCGTCGCAACCACCCTCCTCGAAGAAGGCGTCCGTGATTCGTTCCTGAGTCTCGTGCTCTCTCAAATGCTCTCTGACTTCGCGAGGGTCCTTTAACGCTGTCCCGCAACGATCCAGACCGCAATGATGATGTTCCCTGCCCAGATGACAAGGACAATCACCTGTCGCAGGTACCAAATAGGCCAATTCCGTGGCGGTGAGTTGTTGACTCTGTTGTTGCTGTTGCTGTTGCTGTTGCTGCTGCTGCTGGTGTTGGTGTTGATGTTGCTGTGGCTGTTGAAGTTGCGGTTGTTCAATGGTCACGGTGGAGCTACCACTGGCGCTGACTGTGGTGGTGGTGGTGGTGGGTGCGGTTAGATCCATCGCGAGATCGCTTCCGCTTTGGAAGGAATCGTCGAACGAGTAATAAGACGGCGAGCCTCTGTCTTCGTTCGAGCTTTCACCGTTCAGACTTAGAGAAAGATTCTGGGCACCGACGTCGTCCGGTGGCCAGGAACCGGAAGGTCGTATTCCACCGACCGCGCTGATTTGTTTGTACTTTCTGTAAGCCAGCTCGGACTCGTGCCGTTCGTGTTTCCGTTTGTGGGAGAACAGCTGACCGGAAGAATGAAGAACGTAGCTACAGTGTGGTCGTATGCAGTGAATGTGATTGCATACCCGAGAGAAACGACACTGCTCGAAGGGGCACGCCTCGGACTTCATGAACTTCTTGAATCCGTCGCGGGACAACTGCTCGTCTTTGATATGATACGATTTGTGTTTGTCTGGAACAAGAAGACGCGAAAGGGACGCGTCAGTGAAGAGAAGAGGGAACGCGCGTATCGCAGTCGAAAAAGGAGCAAAGTATTTTTTGTTTCATAGATAATAGAACAGTGCTAGAATTTCTAGGCAGAAAAATGCAAGCATCTCTTTACCCATGTCAGCCTTGTTTTTAAAGGTGAACCGGCAGCCAGGTCGCCGACAATGGAAGTGCGTAGTCCGTTGACCAGCGAAGGGACAGTGATCGGTAGCACAGCTCTCGGTCGCGCGGAATCTCTGGAAACCTTCTTGAATGATAGCCGAATCCTTGCGATGATAGTTGGCGTGCATCTGCACGTCCGACGTCGATATGTAAACCTTATCGCAATTCTCATGGATACAGTGGTAGTGGGTCTGTTTTCTATTGTGCGGGCATGCACGACCCGGATGCCTCTCCGAGCAATCATCCGTCGGCGAGTACCTCATGAAGCCGTGCTGCAAAGATTCGTCCCTCTTTTTGTGCCACTTGAAATGCCTGATCATTTCTTCTTTTTTCACAAACACCCTACCACTGCAATCCAAACAGTGAAAATGTTCTCTGCAACCGAGCTCCTTACAATACGAGCTACCGCATTCTTGACCCGACGAGTACCTCCTCACGTATCGGGAGTAATCGATTATAGGCTGTGACACGGAGCTTTTCGAGCTACCGATCAAGGTGTCCGCAACCGGAGACATGCTTTGTCTCAGTAACGCTGAAATCAGAAACCAGAAAGAAATGACGCTCGTTCCGTGATTTCAACCCTCGAACGACGGAGCCGGGTCAATCCTGGCTTCATCCTAACGATCTTACACCAAGGTTACACCATTTCGAAAATGTCAGAAGCAAACCGTTATTTAAATATAGAAGAGAATAATCGTGAACGATGATGATAAATAATTTGATTAAGGTACAGAACGTTCGAATTTAAAATTAAACATTGCTTCGATAAGATAGTTGTCGATCTCTTCGACAATCTCGATCGTCAAGAAAACTTTCTACGATTCGAACGGAACAAAGGTTGGTAAGGAAGCATTCTGTCGTTGCAAAGAAGAACTCTGCTTTGGCAAACGACTTTACCCGCTGTAGAACAAGTTCAACGACACTTTTGCTAGAACAATTACCCGATACATGCATCGAGAGTTACGAGTTCACCGTTCGTCGACCCGTGCGCTTTTGGACGTTCGGAAAACTGGTTACCTACGGCGCATTGTAAACTTCGAACAAAGAGGGGAATTCCATGATGGAAATGGTACCAATCGCAGGAAAAAAGAAACTTCTTTACTCTCCAAAATGTAAAGCGATTCGTAAAATAAATCAAAATTATTGATAAATGATTATTCTTCGTTTTAATACCTGTCCATCGATAGCTAGTAATATTATTTCAAAGTCTGTAAGAGGTTTGCAAACGTGTTATAGATTTCAAATCGATCGGGTTGAAATAGAAACGCGTTTATGCGAAGAAATTTCGCAAACAGCGGCGAAACGTAGAAGCAAGGGAAGAATATATAGCATACCCCCCGTCCGTGGTGGCCGGAAACCACGTTCCACGTTTGGTGTACGCCCTACCCAAGGGCTCCGGTTGATTCCAAGAAATTCCTACTTGTCGACTGTGCACGTTTGAATGCGTTCAGAAACGAGTTTAAAAATTGTCGAATATTTCTCTTAGGGGTTCCCCCTTGGCCGAGTATGGAGGGGATAGGTACCGGCGAAGTTTTATGCGCACGTGTGTACGCGAAAGAGAAGAAGGGTTCTCTCGTGCCGGAGAAACGAAACAAAAACGAACGACCAAAGGAAAAGACGAAATGGTAAAGGTTGCGAGGGAGAAACAGCCATTATGCTTCGGCTGTATTATGTTCCTAAACTGTAAGAAATTTTTCAATCTACGCCGTCACTCGTCATTTTAACAATTGCTTCCGAAAGAAATAGCACCAGGTTCGAAATAACGAAATTGTGAAATTCACGATTCGTTCTGGATGTTTAAATTAATTATCCGGTTTAACTGAACCGGGAATGTAATTTCTGGCGCATTGTTGCGTAACGGTTCGGTTATGACTATTAATCTATCCTCCGGTGCAGTAATTATGCAACGCAGCTGCGTGTTTTGTGTCGCTCGTTAGAATCACCTTCCGACCAACTATGGGCCACGTGAATTTACGATCATTTTCTTCGTGGTATCGCTCGTTACGAAGGAAACAGAGTCGTCTCGGAGGGTCAAGGCTTTTCTTCGTCTAGTTTTATTAATCATGAATAAATAAAATATCGAGAAGAAACGTCTCGACAGGTTGTGATTCTTCTTTCGTATCCGAGAATGTCAGACATTTTGTTGACGCCTAATTATGCGGCTCGCATCGCAGGAAGCGTGCCAAAACGGTGGTGGCACGAGTGTCGAACGAAACCTGGCCTTGGTTCTCGTTAAAAGATACAATGATGCATATTTCCGGCAAATTGCACGCCACTGATTGCATTGAAGCTTTTCGTTAAAATCATACTATTCTTAATCCCGGCCGTTTCGATCGATCTTTCGAATGAAGAATGGCAAAGAAAAAAAAAATACCACCCACGTTGTAAAGCGAACGAAGAATACGAGAAACGTGACAGAAGTTGGGGGGACAAATCTTAAAAAATATGAGAAATTCACGGGACGACACGCACCGGGATCCCCTCTCCTTCTCGCCCTACCCCTGCCCAGTGCACGGCTTTCAAGCTGAACCCTTTTATTCGTAGTTCTTGAAACTGGCACGTTGGAGGGAGAGGTTGATCCGGCTGCGGATGAAAACCCGGGCCTTGCTTGGGGAGTTTAAAATTTTCAAAAAGCCCGATCCTGAAAAGAAGGCCCCGTATTTCAGCGCGCCGTGCCGGTTCTCCTTCCTTTTTTTATCATTTAATCCGTTCAGGCCTTAACTGAATAACCCTTTATACGCGTGGCTTGTGTGTGCTCTCTGCGAAATCCTCCGGCAAGCACCATCTTCACGCAACTTTACAATCGCCTACTATCTTATAATAGAATCGTTCGACGATACTCCGCTAAAGTTTATTCGCTTTTCATTTGCCCAAAGGAAAAATGAGTAACAATAAAGTATGGTAACAAAAGATATTTCGCATGTCAAATGTCAACCGTTCGAACAATCTACGTACGAATAATTAAGCACGAGTCGTTCAGCAGGCTAAAATAGGACCTAACTTATAAAATCGTATGTTTGGATAATGCATCAAGTGGCCACTGCGTCGCAGTCTGTTCCGCGCCCAGTCACCAAGGGTCCATTGAACCTTTTCCTTCCTTTTTTCTCTCCCTCGAGAGGGCCTAAATACCGACAAAAAAAATTCCCAACGGGCAGCCACCCCTCTTTCCTCGACCTCTTTACCCCTTTTTTCGACGGCCCTCGTCACAACATTGTTTCCGGAAAAACGGCTCCGACCAAAGAAGCAACCGGCCAGATGCGATTTAATGAGCCAGAATAGAGACGGTGCCTTTCGGCCCTTCGATATTCTTAACCCTTTATATTAAATATAGAAATTTCTTCGAAACGAAGATTTATTCGGTAGCGACCGTATACGGTGTAATCGTGAATCTGGTCGCAACCATGAAAATCGTGGCGCCAAGAGGGTCAAGCAAAAGCGAACAGATTGAAGGTGGAACATCGAAGAAAGAGGGAAAGCTGAACGACGAGGGAGAGAAGAAGATACGAAGCGGACACTAAACTATTCTAAGATCCTCGGCAAGAGAGAGTGTCGCGAACTTATTGTCTCTCAGCGAGCAGGCCGACGTTATTTCTGTCAAAATTACGTTATGGTCGCCATTCTACTGTCCCGTTTCTCTCGGTGCCGTCCGTTTAGCACCTTCTTCTCCATGCCGTAGTTTCCGTTCTTCTTCTTTCCCATCTTCCTCGTTGCAGCTCACGAGAACGACTAAAATAAACTGCCATTATAATTAACGCGATTCCTTCTTTAGGGAAGAGCTTTCCAGAGATTCCACCTGAACCGTTCTCGAAACTCTCGAATTTACGAGCCTCCCCTTCGCGTTCTGCCGATAGAATTATTCTCGCCTTTGTCTATTCGTTTCTCCTAATTATTACGAGCCGCCTTACCCGCCAGATTTATGGACAGGTATTTATAGAGCGACCGATCCTGATATCCGTGGATTCGCCAAACTGCAACCGCGAATATCGCGAGGATTCGACGCGTTTCGCGTTTGATTCATTAAAATCTATACTTATAAGTATAAATTAATTCGCGGTATTGGAAAAACGAGATTATTCATCGGAGAAACGAGTACGATGCGAATCGAAGGCTTTCGTGAGTCGCAGCGTGCGTGAAGGAAGGAGCGCGCGTACAAACGGTCGTTAAAGCAATCGAGCCACGTGCTACGCGCTCCTCTCTCCCTCTCTCTTTCTCTCTTTCTCTCTTTCTGCTGTTTGTAAAGGCACATTCATTAATGTCGCGTATAGCTGGTATCGTTTTACCCCTCTGGCGAGGCGCGGAAACAATTTTTTTATTTTTCATTTTAATCTAGCCTACCCTCGGACGTATGGATTTTTCGGCCTACTATTACGGACATACTACTTAGTGTCAACCACCACTCTTACCGACTCCTTTCTACGCACCCCCTTCTTTTCACGGCGTCGTGGCTCGGAACCCCCTCTCGTTCTGCTCTTACTTATGGCGGCCGTGTTCAATTTAACGAGGGGAAACCTCTCGGTGGAATATCGGAGAACAATGATTTCCGAAATTATTGACCGAACGGACCGAACCGGTTCCTATACTACTGACTGCGAAATGAAAATTTATCTCGTCGTCAAATAGAGGTGGATGGAAATTTTGTACTTTCGTATGCGTGTCTGACTATGCACGGACGTTTCCACTGTGCCACTCGACGAGTTAAGTGCTGATTTCTTTCCACGATAAGCAAAGACTTATCCGAGGGTCGAAAATGCGAATCTTTTTTTTTTTTTTTTTTCAAAGAAATAAAGGGTGGATCTGATCGTGGACTGAACAGGGAGACAGAAACGCCAGCGGGCATCGATAGAAGCGTGGCTGTGCACTTAATAATAGTCCTCGCTCGTTACGCACTCGTCGAACTGCCTTGTTAAGCCTAACAGCCACTCGCTGTCGGGGAATATTTGAAAGTTATCGGACACGCGATCTCGTAAATCAGCACGGGTTACATGGAACTTTGTAGAACTTTGGAACTCACCGCCCAACGCATATTGTCATGAATCTTCGTTCAAGACCAGATCCGTGCGCAAAAAGAAAAAGCACAATGCCTCTTTGGAGAGTGTGCTTCTCGGTAATTCGAGATTGATCGCAAAAGTTTGAACACTGCTGGGCCACCGGTTTCAGCTCGTTCTGCCAATTATCGCCTTAAGTAATTCAATTAACGCAATGACGATCTTGCGAGCTAAAACGTTCCCTCTGATTTCGCGTATAATTGCTGAGATTACACGAGGGTGGATGGACTCGTTTACAAAGAGAAAAAGCTGAAACGCAATTTTCATGGAAAATAATAAAAAGCAAATGTATCCTTAATGATACTTCGACTGATTAATCATCGCACCCTTGATCCCATGAGAATTGACTAGCCTATGTACCGTATCGTGTTTCCGTAAACACAGAGCAATCGATCGTTCAATATTTCACCGCGACTGTGTTTTATTGCCGATCAATTTTCTGGAAGGTCACCCCTTTCGACGACGGGCCGCATCCTCACCCCGGAAA